TACCTCAAAGATCTAAATTTAAAACAGAGTTTTTAGGTTGTCTAATGCTTATAGGTGTGGGGTTTTTCGCTTCCTTGTCATTCTCCTAGCTCTTATGTAAACAATCCATACCTTGCTATGTCAATTACCCTTCTCCTTAGCCATAACCCACCTATGCCCAACTAATTAGTAAGTTCTTTCAACATTAGCACCTTGTTTTTAGAATTTTGTCTTTAGTATAAAGCTGTTAACATGATGGGAAGAAATGTCTATTGAATGTCAAATGAGTGAGTCCCTCTTGGAAAAGAAATACTGGTCTCCTCTTAATTAAACCAAGCCAACAAATATTATGTACACCATAAACATTGACCAACTGTTGGGTGTCCTTTAACAGATCAAGTATAAGCAATCAGCAGAAATGGAAAAAGCCAATTTCACTTCTGTAGTTGACACTCCGGAGATCATTCATGCTCAACAAGTCAAGAACCTTTCAAGCCAGGTAAAGAAATTCATCAGAACACTACTCATAGACCCCAGTCACAAAGGACAAAAGTCTTTCCACTAATACTTATGGAAGTGTTTTCAAACCAGCTTTGCCCAGTTTAAAAAACAGGGGATTCACCTGTGATGTAGGTCTGAGTCAGAGCTGAGATTTCTACATCAGATTCAAAATACACAAGAGGGGATTCCAAGGTACTGAAGAACTCTTACAAGGTATAACCCATAATTAATGATTCAGTATTTTAAGATGGAAAGTGTCTTATAATGTGGATGTAAAATTCATATGCATATATGTAAGAAACCAAGTAAACAGCCCCCATTTGGATTATCATTCTCTAACAAGATTGTGATTATGTCCTCAATTCTAACCATGCAATCTAACCCTGATTTCTCCCATGGTGGATAACCTTCCATCTTCCTATAAACAGAGAGAAAAAAGTAGGATGTCCTTCCCATACCCAGATATATCCTCTTTTGTGTTAAAGTTTGTGATGGTCCAGAATCTTCCATTTGAGTAGCTCCAAGTTAGAACTTTTGCTTGTCTTCTGATCAGTGAGCTCCAAAGCCATAGTTACCTAACCCAACTATGCTTTATAAACATTTTGAAAGGTAGATTCCCTGGCCCCATCTTGGAATATAGAAGCTAATATATTTGAGAGAGGCGCTGAAGATGTTTTTGTTTGTTTGTTTTTAATCTTCACAGGTTTGTTTTTTTTGTTTGTTTGTTTTTAATCTTCGCTTGATGACCAATTGGGTTAGGGAGTCATGGGTTTAAACCCTTATTAGTAATACATTATTTTATGTCATACATCTTGATATGAAAAATACAATGTAGGGTGAAAGAAGAGTTCTCCCCTACTGTGAAGATTTTAATTTAAATATACTAAATTCAGTTGCACATAGATTAACAGGAGAAAAACCATAACAATGGTAGTATCCTATGTATAAGTACAGGAGTCATACACAAAGTATGAGACTCAGATAAGAGCCAGATGGTTGGATCTTAAATACTCTCTTCATAGGGGAGAGGGAAATGATGGGGTCGGAGAGCTGTAGGCAATTTTAAAGAAATAGTAAATTATTTTTAGGAGAAATGTATGGGCCTGAAAAATAGATAATGATTTGGGACAAAGTTTGAGCTCTAGATGACATGTTCAATCTTCAGTCTCTTCTGTGATGAGTCTAACCTTTCTTGAAGTCTAGTTAGTAGAGTGGAGGCAGTTGTGTGTTCTTTTGTGGATCATTTTTTAGGAGACAGCAAATTTCAGAGAAAAGTAGCTTCCTACACTACAAGGAGAGACAGAGACAGGAGGGCAGAGGGAGAGTTAGAGAGACCTTAGCTTTGAGGCTGTTCCTTTAATGCAGCATGCAAAAGCACCGCATTTGGGGCAATAATTTTTTTGAGCTCCAAAATATTTACCACTAAAGAGTGGTTTAATTATGAAACAGTATGTTCAAATGGAAGAGATGAACCTTTTATTGGAGGAGGGGAAGAATAATGAACTAAATTCTATAGGCCCCCACTGTGTGTTGTGCTCCCTGGGGGAGCCCGAGAGGCTATGGGATGCTGACTGGTCCTATTACTTTCTGCCTGTTGGCAATTGCGAATCTTAAAGAACACCTCCGTGTACAGGCCTCTGTGGGGAGGGCTTAAGCAGTCTGTTTCCTTGTGCCCTCCGGGAACTTTTAGGCTGGGTCCTCAGGCTTAAAATGTGACCAGGTGGGTAATTCCTCCTCAGTGTAGGTCACTATTTACCTTTGAGTGATGGGATGGTGCTTGTGTGTTCCACAAACTTGATTCTTGATTTTCAGGGAGAAGTCTGTATTTTAGAACCTCTAAACGCCTATGAGGTGGTTAATGGAAGCAGTGTGAGCTGACTCATGAGCTCAGGATACTGTACGAAATATTTCCGTTTTTAAAATACTATTCATTATTTTTAACTTTGTTATGGGCATATGCACTCAGAGACACAGAGAGAGATGGAGGAAAGTGAGAAAGCAGCTGCCAGGTGTGGGATTCGAACCATCGTAGGCCATGTGGGAGTCCAACACCTTAACCACCATGCCAGCTGCTGGTTCCCTGAATATTTCTTAATGCAGGGAAGTTCAGGTCCCCTCCTCCCAGAATACCTCCGAATTTCACATTAAAAAAAAAAAAAAACAACTCTCTCAAGAACTAGGGACTAATTTGCAACCAACTGCAAGCAATTGAGGCAGCTTTTGTATAATCCAGAAAAAAAAAAAAAAGAATAGAGAAGAAAAGTAGAACCATTCTTTTCCCAGGACAGAGACTGTTTTCTTTAACTAAGAGTTATTCTGGTGATTTTTTTTCTGAATAAAATATTTGTTTCTTGGAATTGCCCTATCTTTTCAGAAATCTTGGCTTTAACTGGCTTCTAATTAGACAAACAAAATATAGGCTGAAATCTCTCATTGGCTGAGATTCTTGTTTGTTGCCTGTGGGAAGATTGAAATGTTCAACACTAATAAATGTAACTCATATATAATACAAATTTAGATCGATCGGTTGATAGAATCATTTCAGCTCCATTATAAAAGGGGCATCCTCTTTCCTCATCCATCATTCTCCTGGATAGCAGAGGGGGAGACACGGCCATTAAGTGAAGCTATAGAGGGCAGTGAGAGGACGTAGTGAAAAGCAGTAAATAAACATGAGTCCTGAGACAGACAAGGTGTGCTGCTGCCGAGAACCACCCAGCTCGGTGATGAGCACTGACCGCATGGGTGGCTAAGAGCAGAGCAGCCATCGTGGACAAGCATCTGTCCAAAGGCCAGAGTGGGGTGGGGCAGAGAGAGGCCCTGTCTGTTTAGCAGAGCCACCGCTAGTCAGTGATGCGGTTTCTCCAGCACCAGAGCTGTTTTCTTGGAAGTACCCTCAGGGCTGTCCCTACTGCTCAGTCCTGTAGCCAGGAGCCTGGACACACCTGCTCACATGCTCAGTGAATATCTCATCGCCCACCAAGACCGGCTTTCAAATGACCATGTCTTGGCTCTTAACTTTCTTTGTTTTCTCCACCTCTCTGTGGAGTAGCCTGGCTAAATAACTCCACCCAATTGGTGAAGGGGCAGTCCGACCGCCCTCCCTGAGCCTGGGTGGCTGTGAGCTCCTTAGCACAGACCAGCCAGTGAGGGCCTCACTCTGCCCATATTTCCATGACAGTGGTCCTCCTTTGCTTTTATTTTGTTGTTGTTTGTTTTAGGAGAAAGAGTGAGAGCATGACAGGGAAGGATGGAGGGAGACAGTGAACAAGAGAGAAGCATTTTTGACAGGTCTAACTGTGGACCTTCCTGCCCCAACTCCCTGGTCAGGACCAAAGGGGTACCCACTGCAACTGGCCTGTTTTAGGTTGGTCTGGGAACTGAACTTGGGCCTCCCAGGTGACTCCAGCCACTGCGCTGTGGCATTCTTTCATGGTGGGCCTATGAAGTGCCCCGTTCAGTTCTAGAAAGAAAAAGCATGGTGCTCATTGACTGAGAGGGCTCTGGAAAATACACAAAGGAGTTATATTCCTTCTGCTGAGCCAGGCCCCAATGCCCCATATCCCTGTGGTGCTTACTCTGTATTTCTTGGAATCTATTCCCAGAAAAAGTACAAAGAAGATGCAGAGAAGTCCATGTCATATTACGAGACGGTGTTGGATACCCCAGAGATGCAGAGAGTCCGGGAGAACCAAAAGAATTTCAGTCTTGTAAGTTTTTGTTGAATTCAAGGCACAGCCCACCTGGCAGGCTGAGGAAGATGCTCTGGGCACCCTCCTGACATCCTGCCCCTCACTGGGCTGCTGAGCAGCCTCCCTCAACTCCACTTAGTCCCTGGAAACTAGTGCTCAACTCTCCTCTGGGTTCACCTTCTGTTTCAACCCCAAATCCCTGCAAGAGAGACCCATCTGTGACTTGGGTGGTGGTGTAGGGGGAAAAGTAGTATCTTTTCCTCACCCGTTGTCTGGCTCACAACTAAGGCCCCCATAACAAAAGACAGATGGGCAAGAGAAAAACACACACATCTGATAGAAATTTTATGTGACATGGGAAGTTTCAGAAATGAAGACCCAAAGACAAGGGGCAATCTGTGTATTTTTATGCATAGTCTTGCAGAGGTACAACTGGACAGAGCGTGAGCTACTGGTAATGAACTGAGGAACTTAGCAAGGCTTGTTCAGGCTCTTTTTGGCATCTTTGGTTCCTTTCCTCTGTCTGCAGGAAGGACCCCTCTCACCCACCAGGAATGAGTCTTATGACCCACTTTAAAAGAAGGTCAAATAATTATTTTATGACCTGTTTCAGCAGAAAAAAGCAGGAGAGGGTCAGAGAGGGACTTCCTGCCTGTGCTGTTCTCGCACTGCCAAGGTGCCACATTTTGGGGTAACACGTCCTGACACCTGCCAGCAGCTTCCTGGTGCTATATATGAACTTCCACCATTTTCCACTAGGGGCGACATCTACCTTTTTCAGAGTTAAATCTCAGCAAAGCATACTTTAAGAGAACCCTTCATTTTACAAGTTTTAAAAATTAGTTCCTCCACATTTTTTTTTCTTTTGCTACAGGTCATGTATGCTTACCAGAAAGAAAGAGAGAGATGAAAAGTGAGAAAATATCCCCTGGGGTGATGGCAGTCCCTTCTCTTCCATTCTCCTCTCAGGATTTTGAACACACACATGCACATGCCCATGTGTTTCTCAAGTCACTGGGTCCAGGACTCCAACTACATAGATGACCATATGAAATTCAGCTGCCTTAGCCACCATACCACCAGCAGGCCCTCTCCACCAAATTTTTATTAAATAATTTCTCTTTGGCTATCAGACCATGACTATTGTAGCTTTATTCTTTTTTTTTTTTTTTTTTTTAATTGCCAGAGAAAGAGAGAAAGCACTCTCTTCGCCCACCCCGGCCCCAATGCAGGGAGTCCACATGCTGCGGTTCTTTTTCCCCCATTTTTCTCTCCCATCAGGATTTGGTATACACATATATACTTGCCTGGCAAGCAGACTATTCTTTTTTAAATATAAGATTCAAACTTCTATTACATAATATAGAGGAATTTTGAACAGTAGATGGTGTGGTGGTTAAGGCACTAGACATTCCCACGTGGCCAACCATGGTTCAAGTCCTAGATCTGGTGGCTTGCTTTCTCACTTTCTCTCTCTCTCTGGTCAAATTTAAATAAAAAAAATGAATAAATAAAATTTTAAAAAATAATCCTAAAAAAAAGAATTTTTTATAATACAATGTTAAAAATCTTAACAAGATGTTTACTCTTTCTTCATAGCTCCAATACCAGTGTGACCTTAAAAACAGTAAAGGAAAAATTACAGTTGTTCAAGACACGCCAGAAATACTGCGTGTTAAAGAAAATCAAAAGAATTTCAGCTCGGTATATTTACTATTTATTTTCCATTTAATGCTAACATAGTAATCCCATTCTCCTCTTTAAAAATATACTAGCCTCCCATTGATACAAACAATTAACTTCTAACCTCCCCAGTTAATGCTAGCGGTTATTTGTTCAAATTCCCCACACTTTGCTCCAAAATCATCACCCCAGAGACCTATTTGAAATAACAACCTAAATCTGCTAACAAAGTAACTTTTCTTTCTTTTTTAAATCTCAGAGCAGTAACATGTGCTGTTTTGCTCCAGGAAGATGAATTTCTCTGACATTGTTTGTTGTTATTGTTATTCCTCCATAAAATAACTGACTGACTTTGCATTTCCATAATGGATTTTTTGCTTCGTGTTTCCTGTGGGAGGGTTTTGTTGTTGTTAATCAACATTTTCTGGATTTTTTTTTTTTTATCCTGTGTTTCATATGGCCAGATGATCTTAAAAGAATCTCAAGATCTAGGAAAAGACCTTGAGATGACCTCGGTCACTGCTGCTGACGTGGGAGATGTCAGATGCAATGCTCTGGCACTTGCTTCAGAAGGTTGCCTAGTGTCTTTTGTTTTCACAGAAGCCATGTGCCCTAGCCTTTCTCTGGGAATTACTGGGTTCCTTACTTCTGTGTAACACTGTCTTAATTCTGAATGCCCAGGTTTTATATAAAGAGGATGTCTCACCAGGAACAGCAATCGGAAAGACACCTGAGATGATGAGAGTGAAGCAAACACAGGACCACATTAGTTCGGTAAAGACGTAGCGGATTCACTTTCCATATTTTCTGCCTTCCTTTGAGAATTTACAATGACCTTTGAGTTGCGCTCAAAACCTCTGTCACCAGAAACAGCTTAAGTTGCTAAAACAGGGGCCTGTGTACCAATACCACATGGTATATGCCAGTGACGTGACAGTGTTTAAGAAGGAGAGGTTAGCTAAGGAAGAAAGAGGGGCTTATGAGTAATACGTTTATATGTGGATGTATATTTCCTAGTCAAATGAAATGGTGGGTATTAAAACAATGGTGGATAAAGGAAAGAGAAGGGACTACAGTCTTAAATAGGGACCCCACCTCCGCCACCCTTTGCTCATAGAGACAAGAGAGAGACAAAGCATCCCTATCCTCGGAATTGTTCTCTGACCAATAGAAGAAAGTGGCCCAGTCCCCACTAAGTACAGCACTTGTGTTGGAAAGAACATCTGTCCAGCATGTAGTCATACCTTTTCCCCCATTTTCATCTCTGCAGGTGAAGTATAAGGAAGCCATTGGACAAGGAACTCCAATCCCTGACTTGCCTGAAGTGAAGCGCGTCAAGGAGACCCAGAAGCACATTAGCTCGGTAGTGGCCTGTACTCCCAGCATGCCTCTGTGTGACTGGCCCCCTCCCATCTGCTACCCTGGCTCCATCTCATCCCTTCTTCTTCCTAGCCAAAGCTTCCCCTGCGTTGGGGTTACTATGAATCCTTTGTTGGTCCTGAGTGGAGCCAATAAGGGTTGCAAAAGTAAATGAGAAATGTGTTTCTTCACAAGAAGTAGAAGGGATTGGACTCCTTCCTCAATCACCATGCCATCAGTTTCCAAAGTAGGAATATGCTGAAAGTAGTAGAAAGGTTATTGGGATGATTTCAAGCTACTTAACCACAAGCATATACATTTAAACATAAAAGTAATATAAGGAATGACAGGAGTCCAGTGTCCAGGTAGACCCTAGGTGGATGTGTGAAGTCTGCAGCCTTCTCCCCTCCTTTCCAGAATTCCTGCCCTGTATTCTCCACTCTCGTGAATGTAGCACTTGTTTAAGGTGCTGGCTGTTAGCCACAATGCTATGCTCCCTAAGCATGTTCTTTCAGGAATTCCAGGCCCTGTGCAGTCTGTGTGTGGCTGCGGAGAAAGGTTAATGTGTTTCTTCTGAGCTACTGTCAGCAAGCCCTGCCTCTGCGCCCCCCTGCCCTGTCCCATCCACGAACAGATTCTAAGTAGTTGCTGGTTCCAGCAGGAGAGTGTGTGAGGTGTGGAGAAATGGTTTATGGCCAATAAACGGCGAGGCCCTTGTCTGAGACTCCAACGCTCACTGGCCTCTGTCCTGCATCGTATCGCATCCCCAGTGGGCTCTGATTTCTCTTTAGGAGATGCAGGCTGTTTCTCTGGCAGGTTGTTCAGATGACTTAGATCCCACTCCGTTTTCACTTCCTGCTTATACTCTGGCTTCCTCATAGTACAAACTTCATCTAGAGTTGGGTCCGCTAATCCGAGAAAACTAGCCAGATGGCTCCTTCGTTGCTTTAGCTTGTAGCTTCTTGCCTTTCTCTAATTTTCCACTGTTCCATCGTCTTCCAATGGTTTCCTAGCATTGTTGGATAAAAGATAAAAAAAAAAAAATACAACTTTGTTACCAAGAGGATAGATTTTTCAAAGGTTCCCAGTTTCCTAGCAAAACAAAGTTATCACTGCGAGCTTGTTGCCAATTCTAGAAAGTAATTTGTGACACAAGCCCCTAGGTTTTCCATAAACTAGTGCCCCAGAGAACCCATCCATTTAAACAAATCCTTCCAGCTGAAAATTCCTTACAGTAAGAAGGAAGGAAGCAAGAGGCTCAGAAAATGGAGAATTCTTATTTTTTAATTAAAATACAGTATGTTGATTCTAAAAAGAATGGACTTCTCTCTCTTTAAAAACAAAACAAAAACAAAACCAAGAAAACCCACTACTTAGTCCATTAATCACACGTAAAAGTTTTTAGAAAAAAATACTCTTCCTGACTAACCCTAAGACTAAGGTACCAACAGACTAGGGGTGAGTTAAGAGTTTTCATTAGAAAACACAAAACAGAAAATTCTCAACCATTCATATTATTAGAAAAATTTAAATCAAGAGTTCTATGTGTTAAGTACAAATCTAAGGCATTCATTCTAGATGCAATGAAATGGATTAATTTTTCTCGTTGTTAAATTTTTTTGTCACTAATGCATTTTAGAAGTACTTTTTAAGTGTTAGTTATAGAAAAAAACGTAATTTAACACCCAGTTTTCAAGGTAGTACAAGCACTACTTTTGAAGAAAGACCATAAATATGTATGGAAATTCTTATTCCTTGTCTGTTACCTTTGAAAGCTAAATTGTTTCCACACAACAGCACACGTGAAACTGCAATCTGAAGGATTCATAGTCACTTTATCTTGTCGGGTATTCTAATTATTTTCTACAGGTTATGTACAAAGAGAACTTGGGAACAGGCATTCCAACCACTGTCACTCCAGAGATTGAGAGAGTCAAACGCAATCAAGAGAACTTTAGCTCGGTATTTACAAATAGATAAGAAATTCTTCCCCTCTCTCAAATTTACCAGAATAACCCATAGTCCTTTTCATAAAAATAACATCTTAACAGCAATTCTGTGTGTCAGTGTGTGTTGTGTGGAGTCTTACCTGACCAAAAACATCGCGACTTAATACAAAATCACTCACTTTTCTGATTTAACCTTTTTAGCAACTGATTAGTAGATCTGAAATAGTTAGCAGTATTAACATAGGATTCTTCATCATTCTACTCATTTCCTAGAACTCCATGCTGTCTGCTGTACTTTTTCATCCCCAGAATTAGCACTGTAAAATTGCGATGTTAAAAAGTAAAAGCATTATCCGTACTTACTAAATACTACTTACTAAAAAAAAAAAAAAAAAACCTCCTCCTCTCACACACACGCCCTGCCCCCATTTTCTCCCCTCTTTAATTTCTGTGCTGTGTTGAATGTCTTCTGGGTACTTTCTTCTATCTCACAGGTTTTATACAAAGAAAATGTGGGGAAAGGAACCCCAACACCTATCACTCCAGAGATGGAGAGAGTCAAACGCAATCAAGAAAACTTTAGCTCGGTATTTCTTAGGGGGAAAAAAAGAAAACCTTTCATTTTTATTTAAAATAATAACACATTACTAAATTTATATAATGAAAATAATGATAGCAAGTATTACCACAGTTTTCAACTCGAATCTAATTTAGTATTTACTTTAGTTCTGGTGTGAAATGTTAACCATGTTTTCTCTAAAACATAGGTATTTATCATTTTCCTTAAAAACCTGTCATACTCAGCATTCCTTCCTCCGACCCTCCTTTAATAACATTAGGTGTTTCTAACTGGTGTGCCACAAGCCGAAAGTAAACTCTAACAACCCTTCACAAGGACAATGTTCATTGAATTTTTATTGGTATTTATTGTGCCTGTTTGGTGTATTTTTTTGTTTGCAGCTTTTCTTTTAAAAATGTGATTCTTAAACATTTTTATTCAAAGGCAGCAATTCACAGTAACTCAGAAAGACGAATTTACTTGTCTCAGCTAATTCTTCCTATACCACACAAGATACAAATGAGCTTTCCTTTGAAATATCTTCAGGATCATTGAGAGCTGATATTTGCTTAGCTTTTATTATTTATGAATATTTATTTTGTTCCCCCAAATCTACATTCATCTCTCTCTTTTGGATCCTTTATTCAGTGTTGTCAACAGCTCATTACGATGATTCATTTCAAGTCACTTTTGAATGCTATTTAATAAGTCCTAGTCCTGTCTTTGAGAAAAGTCCTGTTATATAAACCAAGGCACTCCTGCTGCAGCCTGGCAGCTGTGTATATACCGAGGCCACTTAGACATACTGTGTGAGACGAGAAGCCCGAAGGTGATCTGCTATTGCTCTGCTTCTGAAAGTTGTTTAGGCCTATTTTATTTCATCATAAAAACAAAACAAAAAAATACTTTTAAAGATTTTTTTAAGGTTACATCTACCTAAAAGAAGGGTCCAAGCTGAGTTGACTGTTGGTTTTGTGCACACAGATACTGTACAAAGAGAACTTGAGCAAGGGGACCCCCCTCCCTGTCACTCCTGAGATGGAGCGAGTCAAACGCAATCAAGAGAACTTTAGCTCGGTATTTGGGAGAAAGTTCTTTTAACTCCATATTAAATAATAATAATAATTTTTATAGAACACAATGTCTCACTATTAGTCCCTTTATAATAATCTCACCAACTGAATTCTCACCAACTGAATTCTTCTATTTTCTGAATTTTTTACTCACCAATTGAGTCTAACATTTTGTATTTTCTATAATAGTCCCTTAAAACTTTTAATTGGTTCCTTTCCTTCTCTTTTTGCCTTTATGTTACTGCTGGGACTTTCTAAATTAATTCATTTCAAACACTGAAGTTTTTATTTCCTTGGAATTCTTTAATGTTTTGGGGTTAGAGTTGCAAGAAAAGATACTGCATTCAAGGTTAGCTATAAAAATAGTGGCTCTTGATATGGAACAAGGGCCATCTTAACATAGACTCTATCTGGATAAACAGGAGCACAGAGAAAGAAAAATCACTCAGTATTAGGACCTAAAGCAATTATATTTTGATACTTGCCTTCAATAAGCCATTTTATGAATAGAAATCTAGGCCCTCTGAGTTTTAACACAGCCACTACTCACACAATGACCTGTCTAATGACTGCTGGGACGTAAGACCAGTTCTCCAGCACCAAGAAACGCCTTTCTCAGTCTTTGTCTCCTTCCCCAGTCAGTGAGTATTCACTGTACGAACAGTTCAGAATCTCACAAGACTATTTCATTGGTAGTTATCAAGTTGTAGATTCCTTTAAACCTTTTCACTATTCAGAATAAATGTAAAAGATTATGCCAGATTTATATGATTGTGTTATGGTGTGTCTTGTCACTTTCTGACATTTACCTAATTTATACTTTTCATATGGGTAGCATTAGGTTATTCTAGTGTGATGTCACATGATATTTATTGAAAAATACATACCCTATGGCACCATGACACACAAGACATGTATAGAAACGATATATTCACAAATAGTCTGTGAGATTTCTACTTGATTGTTTCAAGGATTCACTTATGCTTGAGATGGAGAGTCAACGGCACTAAGAAAATTTAGCCGAATTTTTCTTTGGGGGATGGGAGTCAATGCAAAATGTTTTTATGGTCAGTTTAAATGTTTTCTCAAAGTTTGATTCTTTAATGTAAGTAGATTAGTAAGTTTCTTTGGTCCCACTGTCTTTTTGTTTTGTTTTTAATTACTATTCACTAACAACTTCTCCATTTTGTTAAGTTTTCCATGTAAATTGGTATGTCTTTTGGAATGTTATATTCACTGTTTGCCTCGTGGGTTCATTATTATTCCTTTTATTGAAAGACTTGCTTCTGCTTTCAAAATTACTTTTATGTTATTTTCTTCTATATCGGAGTAAGTATATTATTGTTTGTAGCTATTTAAAACCATAATGATCCTGATGATCTTGGACAGTATATTTTTTTTAAGTAACCATTTGCGTTAATTTTTTACACAGGTTTCATTTAGGCAAAATCGTTCAGGGTTGCCTGGGTCTCATCGAAGTGAACAATACTGTCTACTAAAACATTGAATCTTAGTCCTCACATCTCCACAAATTGAATTTACTCAACAAAGACTAATTTTACCATATCACATAGATTTGGTCTGGGACTTTAATATCCATTATTAAGTCAATATTCTGTAGAGAGGACAAATATTTGCTTATTTAATACAAAAACATTTTTTTCTATGGTGCAGTGAGCATTTTAGTGCTCTTGTGAAATTATTTGTATCTTTCTCTTAATTCATGACAGGAAATAGCATTTATATATGAGCAAGAGTAAAAAGATGACCATCAGGCCTACAGGTGTCTTAGTGGTTAAGGTATTAGACTCCCACATGGCCTACCATGCTTCAAGTCCCAGACATGGAGGCTTGAGATGCACACTGGGTATCTGCGTGTACATGCCCAAAATCCTGAGAGGAAAATGGAGGCGAAGGATTGTAGTGTGGCCATGCCCCCTGGGGGGTGATTTCTGACTTTCTCTGTCTCTCTCGCTCTCTTTCTGTCTCTCTGGTGAGGGCCCATGCCCTATAGCAAAAAATCTCAAAAAGAAAAAAAAAAGGATGAACATTAAGTACACTGGTACTAAGGAAATACAAAATGTGTTCTCAGCCAGATCTATGCCTGAACAAAAAAAGCTGACTCGGTGAACACGTCTTTACTGTTTCATGTCTGTGGTCTGTCTTGACTGCTCTTGTTTTTTCTGGATGCTTTCTTGTGTCGTACAGGTGTTGTATAAAGAAAACCTTGGAAAAGGGATTCCGATCCCCATCACTCCAGAGATGGAGAGAGTCAAACACAATCAAGAAAACTTTAGTTCGGTATTTAAAAAATAATAAAAAAAAAGAATCTCTTAACTATCTAAAAAATGTTTTAAAAGATTAATGGCCAGATTTTAAAAAGCTAATCAACTTATCCCAATAAAAAACATTTGACCTGTTTTTTCCCCCAACTTATTAATACTGCCATTTCCTGTGAACCAGTTTCCCTGTTCTGGTTAATTAATATAATCATTTCACTTAATTTTACAAAGTGTTCAGTATTATATTACAGTTTTTAAAAACATAACATTTTCCGTGTCTAAGCATCCACATTTTATCCTGCTTTGGCAAATTTGGTTTGAAGAGCTTAAAAAAAACTATTCTGCAAAGATCCGACTGTTGGCCTGATTTCCTCTTCTAACCTCTGTCTCTCCTGGTATTTGTAGATATTTTAAAGTTGCCCCTTTTTTAGTATCTCGTCACTCTTCTCCACTTGACTTAAAAATAATTCTTCCCAATATGTTCACCCAACTAAAAATTAAACACTTGGACTTCTTTTGAAAGTCAAAAGAAGATTTGTGTATATCTTCGTATATATGTTTGTAAAATCCCAATATCCTTATGTGATTTATTAATAGCATTTCTAAATCAAAAATAACTTCCTTGGTTTTGTGTCTGCCTCTCAGTGTTTCTTCCTCTTCCAAGCAAGCTGCCAAAGACTAATTACTGCCTTTCACAGTGGTCCGTGCTGCAGAGATAGTTCAAACAACAAAAATAACATTTCCCTTTCCTATTTCTTAGTTTTCGCTTCTTTTTCTGGCATTCCTTTGCTTTTAAGGATGTCTTTAGGCTTATACAGGCTGAAACCACAAGCTTCTGGTAGTTTCCTTCCTCAACCTTATTCTTTTCTCCCGCCCCTCCCATTTGCTCCCAAGTAGACAAGCCATTGACTGCTCCTTTTGTTCTGGATGCTTTTTCCTATCATACAGGTGCTATACAAGGAAAATTTGGGGACAGGAATCCCAATTCCCATCACTCCTGAGATGCAGAGAGTCAAACACAATCAAGAAAACCTTAGCTCGGTATTTTGGAACAAGAAAGGGACAAAAAGAAACCCATGCCATTTAACTTTTGAATGAAACTATTCCTTAACATCTATTCTTTTTTAAAACTCTCTCCACTTCCTTTGCTTGTACTGTATCTTAGCAAAAGGACACACGTGTTTGTTTCTTTAATAGTTCATTTTGATCTTACTTCATCTGATATTTTAAACATTTAAAAAAACAACGAGGCTTTTCCTTTGCGTGGATAATAACAAAACCACGTCCTAACAATTTCAAATCCCCGCGTGACTGTTTAGGAGGCGTTGTGCTCACAGAAGCAAACAAAATAACAAGGATAATCCTGAAGGCTTCCACCCCTCCCGTTCCCTCTCCCTGCAGCTGGGGTCCTTGCTACTTTACAGGGTACAAAGTGCCCGTTGCAATAATGGCTTTTCTTAAAGTGGTATGTGGCGTCTTCTCAGCATGTAACTCCTGGCTCCTAGGACTATTTTGTATTTTGTAACAAGGGTAGTCTCACCCTTTAAACCTCGCAGCAAACGAAATGTTACTTATGGTTGTTTTTCTGGATGCCTTCTTCTTGCACAGGTGTTATACAAAGAAAACATGGGCAAGGGGACCCCTTTACCCATCACTCCAGAGATGGAGCGTGTCAAACACAATCAAGAGAATATCAGCTCGGTACTTCAGCAAGAAAAGAGCAAAACCACCCCTTTAATCATCTTCTAAAACTACTTTAATGACTTAAAATAATACATATTAATCTTCTTAAAGATGATCTAAATGTTGTGTATTTCTTACTACATTTCTCTTTCTTTAGGGCTACTTCGAGCTTTAACCCCATAATAACAAGAGTGCTTTAATCCATAAAATTCTAATATCAAAAAGTAACAGGTTTTTCTAGAAAACATCCTTTTGTTCATGTCTCCCTACTTTCGACCTACTACACCCAAGGTCTCTGGTTTTACGTACTTGTGAAGCTGGGGACAGGGACGGGAGGGGTGGGACCCTTGAATACTGGCGTTCTGATTTCGTTGTCTTCATTGATGACTTTAGGTTCTAACTTACATTTAGACAAAGAGACCTTGGGGAAAATAACCCCTGACCCTCTCCTTCAAGGATGATATAAATCGTGACCCAGTAGTAGACGTAACCATTGATTTTCGAGTCACTTAAAAAGCAAAGTGGCACTGAATGACTTGCTGGTTTTACCAATTTGAAAGGGCTTTTGGTTGTTCTCTCTTATCATGACCTCTCACTGCCAACTTCAGAGAAGCAGCTCCTGTAAGCTTGTGCTGTGATAGTCTATCTACACATTTCTAAGTTACGAGGGATTGGGGTTTCTTTATGTAAAGACTTTAGCTTTCAATGGTGAACAGCCTTGTAGCCCTCACCACTGACATGGTCTGCAGGCTTCTCTTTTTGAGCGCAGTGCTCCTAAAACCTTAGCGTGCATCAGAATCACCCGCCGGGCTAGTTAAACCAGTCTGCGGGGTCCTGTCCACACGCTCTCTCACTCTGGTACAGGGCCAGATAATCTGCATTTCTGAAAAGTTCTCAGGTCAATGGACTTTACTGTCTAGGGACCCCAACCTGAAAACCACTCCTCTATCAGAATTCTTTCTCTTGAGTACTAGTTCCTAAACCTCCAGTAGCTCCAGAATGACATGGAGGTCAAGGATTTACCATGAAGTGTTTCCTATGGATTTACCTTAATAGGGATATAATCACCAAAACATTTTTCTTTACTGAAAAATTTAATGTTGAACTGTACTACAGTAAGAGGCAGCTCACAGAGGATAAGGAGGGAAAACTGATAGGGGAAACTCTTTGCCTGGTCCAAAAGCCTACTTTTACTGGTGTGTCGAGGGTCTCAGTGGTGAATAAAGTACCAGTAGCTACATAGGAGCACCCCTGCTCTCCCCAGGGAGATTTAAGCCTTTGCCTATAGCTTCCATTTAGATGAACCGTAGGCACTTGACCTTCACAGACTAGTGTAAGAACGATGGTGTCTCATTTCTTCTGGGATCATTCTCACAGTCTGCAAGGATTTCAGGGCAAGAGACCTGGGAAACGTGTCTCACTGTAATTATGTTCCCTGGGGAACATACTGCTTTCCATCTAACCTTACTGTCCAATGGTTTGGTGCCCTTAGCCTCATTAAACATTATCTGGGGGCCGGCAGGTGGCATGATAATTAAGGCGCTGGACTACCACATGGGCAACCACGGTTCGAGTCTCAGACCTGGCAGCTTGCTTTCTCACTTTCCCTCTCTTTCTGTCTCTCTTTGGTCAAATTAAAAAAATAATAACAACTAAATAAAATTAAATAACTATTTCTTTAAAAAAATGTTATCTGTTCCACTTCCTCTTGGTAACTGTCATTCTTTTCTTCTTTTTGGCTTTTTTGGCTCCATTGGACTCATATAGGTTTTGTACAAAGAAAATGTGGGGAAAGCCACCCCAACCCCTGTCACTCCAGAGATGCAGAGAGTCAAACGCAATCAAGAAAACATTAGCTCGGTATTGTCTTGAGAAATGAAAGTGTTTTCAGTTTTGCAAAGTAACCCCTGCAGTTTGGCCTGCTCCTAACACCATCCATCCTAGGTTAAAAACAAACAAAACACCCGTTAATTTCAGTCTCCTCTAAATATCATACAATTACCGTTGCCATTAACTATTTTTTTAAGCTTTCTTTCTGAGAGCTGTCCTCACTAATAGCAATAGATTAAACATAGTGCAATCCCCACATCGAATTGCATTTGTAAGTATTGCCTCCTAGTGATTTTTGGGTACAACTTTGTATCTCACAGGTGTTATACAAAGAGAGCCTGGGGAAAGCAACCCCCACACCCTTTACTCCAGAGATGGAAAGAGTCAGACGCAATCAAGAAAACTTTAGCTCGGTATTTCAGAGAGGAAAAAACATAATCCATTAAAATTTTAACAAGCCTGGCAAACAGTTATACCACTAATTTATCTCATGGTGTTTCCGAACTTCTGTGTATCTTTAAAAATGTTTCCTTGTCCATTTACAAGCAACAACCCCACCCCATCAGCTCACACTGATTTTACTTTTCTTAATCTTTTGCTTTCTACTATAACATTTTAATGGCTTTATCTTCCTGAGATGTTTCTTATAGAGTGTGATGTAATTGAGTCATAACAAGTTAAATGATGGGTTTTTTTAGAACTGGTTTTCTGCTCTCTGATATCTGGATGCTCTTTTGGCCCCCCCTAGGTATTATACAAAGAAAATATGAGAAAAGCAACTCCGACACCTGTCACTCCAGAGATGGAAAGGGCTAAGCGCAACCAAGAAAACATTAGCTCGGTATTTTCTAGGGTTAAAAGAGTAGTGCAACGACTTGGAAAATAACATCTTAACATCATAAAAATGTGCCTTTCTCATCCCACTGAAAAACACACTAAAATTCAAAAAGAGAGAGAAATGATACATCTTGGAAAATAACGTGTTAATACCATAAAGATGTGCACTTTCTTATTCAACTGAACATTTTCACAAAAATTAACACTCCTGTGCTTTTAAATTCCACGTGGTTATACTAAACATAACAACTGCTGATGTTTTCTTTCTCCTTTTACTATAGTCTGAGGTGGTCTTACATAATCATCTGTAACCAATTGACTTCCTAACATCCTCAATCTTCTGCACTCCTTCAAAGGTTCTTTTCTGAAATGGGTAATATTCTAAAATGGTAATATTCTAATATTCTTTGGCTTTGGTGATTTAAACTTTCATGCCTGGAGGATGTTGAATGGCATACTAGTTTCGGAAATCTGGACAGAACCTAAGAAAAAGGATTTCTTATTTCAAAGGACAGTCCTTTTAAAGTCTCTTATCAGATTTATTGCCAAATATGCTGGTACTATGATTCCTAGCAGCCTTAAGAAGCGATCCTCCCCCACCCCACCCCCTTTTTTTTTTTCCAAATTTATACCATGTCCCTTTCTCTTTTAAAAATGAAATTTTCATTCTCAAAGTAAAACTAAGTTCTTTCTTCTCTGATGAGAGCCCTGTTGGTCTTCGTGCCGACCTGGGCCACTGCGAGTCATGTGTCCGATGGGCGCTTTCTGCTGACTCAAGCTTCCCTCCTCAGCTCCTTTCAATCTCCATCTGTTCGAAAGGCTGTGGGGTTTTGGATCAGGACAGCATCATGGCCTGTACTCATTCAAGGTCTCTCCTTGGTCAGGTTCTTTATTCTGACAGCTTCCGGAAACAGATACAAGGCAAGGCTGCCTATGTGCTGGATACCCCAGAAATGAGACGGGTGAGGGAGACACAACGGCACATCTCAACGGTGAGTCAGGGATTCTTTAGGGCTGGCTGGACGGCCTGTCAGAACACGTGAGAAGGAAACGATCACGTCATATTTTCATAAACTCATGGCATTTCAGGTGAAGTATCATGAGGACTTTGAGAAACACAAGGGTTGCTTCACACCAGTGGTGACAGACCCTATCACTGAGCGAGTGAAGAAGAACACACAGGACTTCAGTGACATCAACTACCGAGGTATTCAAAGGAAAGTGGTAGAAATGGAGCAAAAACGGAATGACCAGGACCAGGAGACTGTTACAGGTAACTGAGGCCTTGAGTTGGAGAGAGGGGCTGGGGTTAAAAGGAAACAACTTTAAGAGAACTAGAAGGGTGAAAGTGACATTATCTGCATTAAGTCAAATGGACATCAGCCTGTGTTTTCCTTGGACCTGAAAGAAAGGCGCCTATTATTTCATTTTGCAAAGCTGACATCTCTTTTACCTTATCTTTATTTTGAAGAGACATGACCAGAACCTTTGCAAAAAAAAAAAAAAAAGAAAAGAAAAAAAGCGATTCAGTCCTCCTGTGCTTGTTTAAAATGCCTTTGTTTTCAAGTTACTGGAAGAGCCCAAGAGTACCTGTTCTGATCAGCAGTTTTCCTTTCAGGTCTACGTGTCTGGCGTACTAATCCAGGCTCAGTTTTTGACTATGACCCAGCAGAAGACAACATTCAATCCCGAAGCTTACACTTGATTAATGGTATGTTACCCTGAAAAATTAACCATGTGGTAGGCTAGAGTCAACGACTTTTAGGCTCTGAAAGTCTTTCCCCTTGGGGATTTCAATTTTCTTTCTTTTTCTTTTTCTTTCTTTCTTTCTTCTTTTTTTTTTTCCTAAGCTATTCAGGTTTGAGCCATTCACTAAGACCTCTGGGCAAATTCTGATATATATATAGATAGATATATAGATATATATATCTATATATCTATCTATATATATATATAGAGAGAGAGAGAGAGAGGTTTTAGCTATAGAGTGCGTGTGCTCGCCAGAAAGACAGAGAGAGACAGAGAGACAGAAAGTGAGAAATCACCTCCTGGGGGGATGGCCACGCCACAATCCCTTTTCTTCCATTCTCCTCTCGGGATCTTAGGCACGCATGCACATGTGTCTGGAGGATTTCAGTTTTCTGATTTTCCCCTTTGAGCATAAAAACCCTTTTTTGATTAGTGGGCCAAACCAATTTTCTATTGGGTCATCAGGAAAGTCATGACACATTTTTGTTTAGAAAAACATAGAAAAATATTTTGTGACTTAGCTGACACCTAATAAGAAAATTGAAGCTAGAAAGATTCTGTTTGACTACCTCAGTATAAGTCCCACTATTACTTGCATCCCCAACTTTTTTTTCTTGTGGTTATGTTTTGTTTTGTTTTTACCTAAAGAAAAAAAGATAGTAAATTTTTTTTTTTTGGAGAGATTTTCACTGTAGGGCGCGTGCGCTCGCCAGACAGACAGAGAGAGACATAGAGACAGAAAGCGAGAAATCACCCCCCAGAGGGGATGGTCACGCCGCAATCCCTTCTCCTCCATTCTCCTCTCGGGATCTTGGGCACGCACGCACACGTGCCCGGCGTGAGTTTTAAGCCACCGGGTCCGGGACATGAACTGCGGTCGACTACGTGGGAGTCCAGCGACATAGCCATTACGCTAACTGCTGGTTCCCAAAAAGATAGTAAATTTTTATGCTGGAGAAATCTTTAAAAAACAATAGGCAAAGGAAAAAGAATAGATTTGACTTTAGGAGCTGAGCTCTCTGTGTCAAGGAAGATTATTTATTTATCAAAATAGCTACATGCTACTGTGCCTTCTGTTGCTATTAAAAAGTAGATTATGAGGTAGTGCTTGTTCTCAAAGGATTTATACTCTAGTCTGCTGATGAAGAAAGAGGCCATGGTTACTCCCTGGCACATGCAGTTTGAAAAGTCTGCCTATGATACTGTGGAAATACAGAGGAAAAAAATCTGAGATTAACTTGGAAGTTAGGAAGGATTTTCTAGAGAAGTTGAAGACGGCATCTGAACGTGAATGCTACTGTCCACTTATTTTGGCAAGCTAGAAGAGAGGACAGGGTGAGGAAAGGAGTGGAAACCAGGCTGTGCCACCTGTTACATGGTCTTTGGCCATTTACCTAAGCTCTCCTCTGTAAAATAAGGATGGCCACCATATGTCAGAAGAGTGGTGAGGGCTTGTTCCTTAAAATACTACTTATAACCATGCATGGCAAAAAATAACATCAACTAAGAGTCAATTACTGTATTAGACCTTGCTAGCATAGAAATCCTCCCTCTGCTACATCTCTGAACTGTATCTCTCCCAGTCCAAGCCCAGCGCAGGAGCCGGGAGCAGTCTCGATCTGCCAGTGCACTGAGCATCAGTGGGGGTGAAGAGAAGTCTGAGCATTCAGAAGCTGCCGACCACCACCTCTCCACCTACAGTGATGGGGGCATCATTTTCTCGACAACCTCAACAGGTACAAGTGGGTGGCACAGACTGACAGTCACGGCCACCCTGCTCAGTAACAGTTACTATGAGACATGCTTTGATTAAAACAAATTAGGATCCTTCATTTTAATAAGACAATACTTAACAACTATGGAGAGTTACATGAACCTAGATGCTTCGTTTTCATTATGTTGTTAGTTCCTCCTTCCTTGGAGGTCACTCTTTTTAAGTTGGGATAAAGACAACACTCCTCAGCTGCTAAACATGGATACGATGTCCAGCCATGCTTTCCTTATAAGTGTCCCCTTCTTTTCAGCTTACAAACATGCAAAAGCCACAGAGCTCCCACAACAACGATCATCTTCAGTCGCTACCCAACAGACAACAGTATCTTCTATTCCATCTCATCCCTCTACTGCTGGAGTAAGTAAATAATACAGAAAGTACTCAAATCATTTTTATTTTAATATGTGCGAAAACAGTTACAATCGGCCCTCCATGTCCGCAGGTTCTGCATCTGCAGACTCAACCAACAGGTAGATTGACATGTTCCATTGTTGCGTATGTGTACCAAACACAATGAGTGCACAAGCACTGAACATACACTTTTTTCTTGTCATTGTTGACTAAACTATGACAACTATTTACATACCATTTACATTGTATTAGGTACTGTAAGTGATCTCTACACAATTTAAAAGTGTAAGAGAATATGTGTATAGGTTATATGTAAATACTATGCCATTTTATCTAAGGGACTTGAGTATTAAATGATTTTGGTATCTACCAGGGTCCTGGAACCAATCCCCCAGGGGCAGTGAGGGATGACTGTATAGATATTCTGGTATTTCTATTCTTTTTAAAGAATTATTTATTTAACTTTATTTATTTTTATTATTTTTAATTTAACCAGAACAGAGAGACAGAGAGAGAGAGGGAAATGAGAAAGCAAGCCACCAGACCCAGGACTCGAACCATGGTCAGCCATGTGGGAGTCCAGCACCTCAACCACCACACCACCTGCTGGCCCCAGTATTTCTTTTTCCATTTCTATAGTAAAAGTCAAACCATATTTTTTTTAATAATTGTTTTATTTAACTTTATTTATTTATTCATTCATTTATTTAATTTGACCAGAGAGGGACAGAGAGAGAGAAAGTGAGAAAGCAAGCTGCCAGATCTAGGACTAAAACTGCAGTCAGCCATGTGGGAATCCAGTGCCCTTAATCACCACACCACCTGCCAGCTCCCAAACCATCTATTTTATGTAATGATCTTTTACTACATGTCTCATCTTAACAGTAATAATAGAAAACCCACTCATTACCAAGCCCAAATTAATGAAAAGAAAGAAAAAGCATTATTCAATGATTAAAAAAAAATAGAGCAAGCATCAGTTTTGTTCCTTGGCCTCACCAACTATCTTGAATTAAACATTTGTTGCTTAGACTCATTCTTTAAGAATGTACACATGTATTATGCCCATGTACAAACATGTGTACATGCCATGTCTTAGATTCCCCCTATTAATATATATTGAACAGGTCAGCCAAACCACATTCACAATACACCTACCTTAAAACTTGCATTAGTTTAAAACCCTAGATCCCACTCATAACCTCAGAAAAATATAATACTGTAGGATTGAAACAGCATTTGTATGAAGACAACTACCTTTACTAAAGGACACAAAAGAAGATCTAAATAAGTGTTAAGACCCATTATGTATCGGGAAGGGAATACCTTGAAGTTGTCATCTCTCCTTAAATAAGTTAGTAAGTGCAAAGCAATTCCAACGAAAATCTCGTAGCACTGTTTTGAAAATTTGTATGCCAATCTTACAACTTACTTGAAAGTTTGGAAGGATGCAAAAATAACCAAGTACGTTTTAAAAATTCCCATAGAGACAGATTTAACCATAAAAGAGCAAAATATAGGGCCAGCAGGTTGCATGGTTAAGGCATGGATGACTCTGCAGTTTGAATTCTGGACATATAGGAGCTTGAAAAACACACTAGTGTGTGTGTGTGTATGTGTGTGTGTGTATGCCTAAAATCCCAAAAGGAGAATGGAAGAGAAAGGTTTGTACTGTGGTCATCCTTCCTGGGAGATGATTTTTCATTTTCCTTTTCTCTCTTTTTCTGGCAAGCACATGTATCCACAGTAAAAAAAAAAAAATATATATATATATAAGCAAAACATACTATACATACTATAAGGCCACAACTACAGGATTGGCATGGTGATAAATACAAAAATTTGTTTAGTCCAGAAATGGACCTCGTCTTAGCCTGCTATTACACTGCCAACGGAAATACCGATTCCCAAGAACAGGGCTTTATTCAGCTCACAGTTTGGAGTTCAAGTGAGGCGACAGCATGGCGGAGGGCAAGAACTGAGCAAAGCAGCTGAAAATAATATTTCTGCTTGCCTAATCCCTTTCCACCTTTATAAACCCCTCAGAATTCAATCATCCAATTACCTTACCATACCCACAGGCTCCACTCTTGGGACACCAGCCATGGATTAAGTTTTTAAGGCAACACTTTTATAATACAGCCACGCCTTACCACACAGAGCTGGGGGTGGGGCCGGGGGGGGGGAATTCAAACTATGACAGATCTTTAAAGCATTAAAGGTCATCAGGAAAGTAATGGGTTACATGATCTTGGGATAACTAGTTGTCAATTTAGCAAAATAATAGTAAAAATTAAAAACCTATCTCAAAGCATACTTAAATTACAGCTGTACCAAGTACCGAAACATGAAAAATGAACTGTACAGGTACTACCGGAAAATAAACAGTACTTTTAAAATACTGGCGTGTGGCTAGAGGTTAAGGGAACCAGATCCCACATGGCTGGCTGTTTGGTTCAAGTTCTGGACTTGGAGGTGCACATAAAATCCTGACAGGATGGAGAAATGAAGATTGTGCCATGACCACAACCCATTGGGGATGCTTCCTCTCTCCTCTTCTTTCTCTAGTGAGAGCACATGCCTTCGGGTTCATTAAAACAAACTATTGGGAGTGGGGAAAGCCTTTGTAAGCAAGCTTCAAAATCACTAGATTTGTAGTGTAAAGAAAGACTAACAGATTTGTCCATAAAATTTCAATTCTTTAACAAGAACAAACACATCAGACTACGAGAAAATATTTACAGCACATGTAACAAAAATATTAGTATCTAAAAAGCATTAAAACACTCCATAATTTAGGATAAATTATCTCCTCCACCCAAAATAAAATGACCTGGAAAAGTATGAATGAATAATTTATGACAAATTGAAAAAAAAAGATAGGCAACTAAGAGCCAGCTCATGGCCTGGTGGTTAAGGTGGCTGGATCCTACATGGTTGGCCATGAGATTCAAGTCCTGGAACCAGCAGCTTAAAAGACATTGGGCGTTGGGAACCAGCAGTTAGCGTAATGGCTATGTCGCTGGACTCCCACACAGTTGACCGCGGTTCGCGTCCCGGACCCGGTGTCTTAAAACTCATGCCGGGTACATGTGCGTGCGTGCCCAAGGTCCCGAGAGGAGAATGGAGGAGAAGGGATTGCGGCGTGACCATCCCCCCTGGGGGGTGATTTCTCGCTTTCTGTCTCTATGTCTCTCTCTGTCTGTCTGGCGAGCGCACGCACCCTATAGCAAAAACCTCTCAAAAAAAAAAAAGACATTGGGCGTGTGTGTGTGTGTGTGTGTGAGAGAGAGAGAGAAATGGAGGACTGTGGTGTGACCACCGCCCATAGAGGTGGCCCTTATTTCCTCGCTGTCTCCAAACACATGCACCTTCTGGCAAATTAAACAAAAAAACAAAAACAAAACAAAACAAAAAAGCCATAAAAGGTATTTACCACAAATCATGGCAGAAATATGAAAACAATACAAGTACCTCATTTAAACATTAGAGTACCAAATTTCAAATATGTGAACACGCGTACCATTTGGTCTAACACTTTCACATTAATTCATTTATTTAAATTTGTTAGAGGGCACCTGTGCTCACTGGAAAGAAGTGTGAAAGCGCCTCCCGTGGGAATGGTCATGCTGCAATCCCTTCTCCTCCATTACTCCCTCCGTTCAGAATTTGGGGCACGTACACACATGCACCAAACGTACTGTTCAAGCCTTCAGGTCTGGGACTTGAACTGTGCAGTCGACTATGTGGGATCCTTTTGTCTTAACCACAGTGCCACCAGATGACCGAACACTATCACTTTTAAAACTCTTTTCTTCAGCAATTATTTGCCCAAAGACAAACACTAGAATGTTCACTATAGTGTAAGGAAAAAGGATGACAACTAAATGTCCAGAAAAATGGAAATGACTAAATAGGGCCGAGGGGAAATTTTTATTTGTGAATATGAACATGTTTTATATGTGGATGTTTTAGAAAGCAGGAAAAAAAATATATAGGTTAAATCCTAAACTACTGACCAGTGACCTGCTTTTAGGAAAAAATGTTGGGTATTTTCACTTATTATTTATAACTCCGAAGTGATAAAATTTTTAACATTATGTTGGATTGCTTTTAAAATTTTACTACTGGTGCACTCCCAAACCCCAAAGTGGACAAAAAAAAAAAAAAAAAAAAAACACATGCAATACTGAAATTCAAAAATCACAAGACTGACCTCAGGAAAGAATAAAAGGCCACAGCCACACATGCAAAATAAGCATTTTTCTTGGTGTATACACACAAATATTTTGGATCTATAATTAATGTAGTGTTAAGTTTATATAAAGTATACAATTCAATGATTTCCAGTTCATTTACAAATTGCTCAATCATCACCATCTTAGAACATTTTCATCATAAAAGCAAATATGAACCAGGACCAGAAGATGGCATAATGGTTAAGTTGCTGGACTCCCACATAGTCGACTGTGGTTCGAGTCTGGGACCCAGCAGCTTAAAACTCATGCCGGGTGTATGTGCAAAATCCCAAGAGGAGAGTGGAGAAGGGATTTCAGCGTGACCATCCCCCGGGGGGTCATTTCTTCCTGAGATGTCTGTTTCTCTGGCAGGTATACACACCCTATAGTAAAAAATTTCTTAGACAAACTTGAACCCATCAGCACTCATCCCCCATCGTGCCTTTCCCTTCTTGCTTCATCCAGTCCTAGGAACCTAATAGCCCACTTTTTGTCTCTACCCATTTGCCTGCTTGGGGGCACTTTCATGTAAATGTCATGTAGTCTATTGACTTCGGAACATGGTTTTACTTAATGTTTTGAGGTTCATTCATGTTGTATCATGTATTCGTACTTAATTCTATTTATTAAATATTCTGCTGAATAAATGTAACACATTTTGTTCATCAGTTGGAAGGCATACGAGCTGCCTCCGTATTACGGCTGTTATGAATAATACTATCAATATGGTTGTATAAATTATCATGCTGACATGTTTTAATTCCTCTTGGGTATATACTTCTGGGTAATATGGTATTTAATGGGCATTTCATATTTACTGGGTCATCCAGAGTCATGACACCTCTTTGCATAGCAAAAACACATCATGACTTTTCCGACAACCTAGTAACATTGCTAACTGTGGAACTCTTTTCTTTTTTTGGAGAGGTATTCACTATAGGGCGTGTGTGCTCACCAGAGAGAGACAGGCAGAAAGTGAGAAATCACCCCCCCCCTCCCAGGGGGGAGGGACCCACTGCAGTCCCTTCTCCTCCATTCTCCGCTCGGGATCTTGGGCACACCCACACGCGCCTGGTGTGAGTTTAAGCCACCGGGTCTGGGACTCAAACCGCAGTCGGCTACATGGGAGGCCAGCGACATAGCAATTACGCTAACTGCTGGTCCCCCAACCAGCTGTTTTTGAGGATTACAATTTCCCTCATCCTAATACCTGGCGCGTCTTTTTGGCGGTCACTCTTCTGGAAAATATGAAGTTATCTCATTGTGGCTTCACTTTCTCTAATGACTGATTATTCTTTTCATGTGGTTATTGGCTGGCTGTCTTATCTTCTTTGGAGAAATGTCTATTCATATCCGATTTTTTGCTTGTTTTGGTGTTGAGTTGTAGTTCTTTATACACTTTAGATCTTAATCCCTTATTGTAAGTAATCCCTAATTTGTATTTTTTAGTATAGAAAATATAGTGTTCTTTTACTTTATTGGTGGTGGTTGCACCTTTTGTGTAAAGATACTATTTGTCATTGTGCTATATGCTGGAAATTCAATATAAATTTTTCCTTCTTTTCCATTCCCATGAATAGAAAATCTTCCGGGCCATGTATGACTATATGGCTGCTGATGCAGATGAGGTGTCCTTCAAAGATGGAGATGCTATCGTAAATGTTCAAGCTATTGATGAAGGTTGGATGTATGGCACTGTGCAGAGGACTGGCAGGACCGGCATGCTCCCCGCCAACTACGTTGAAGCTATTTAAGCATTTCAAAGCATCACACCTGTCTGCAGGACCTGCAAACCCTGCAGTTAATATTTCAATGTAGATTCTATTACTCAAGTTCTTAAGCTGCCTAAAGGTTTTTTTGCATCTCTTAATCTGCTTCTATAGGAACCCCAGTAAAACATTAGTATCACTAGTCAGTCCAGTTATTTAACATCTCCATTATCTGGATTTGCACATAAAACTTGAGAACAGTAAACCTTTAAATTTTAAAACTGCCATTATTGGGTTTTTAAATAAGTTTCAGAATATTTTAAAAGCTTGTACAATGTTATTGCCATTTCAGTCTGGTCTCCCTCCATTATAAACTGTTTAACAGTATTTCTTTTCTAAAACAGAGATTCTGAGCATATGAGACATAAGGCAAAATAGAATCTATTCCTTTTCCTTGCTTACTGAATGTTAATGCTTTTATTTCTAACCCACTTCTGAAGTTATAAAGCTGGTAGTCAATATAAACTGGCAACTAATAAAATTGGTAATTGTGCAACAAACTCTGAAGAAATACATTATTTTTGATGGCTTTAAAATCTCTATCAATTAAAAGAAATAAGAAACTTAATCCCTTCCACTAAATTATTTTTTTAAAGAAATGTACTATTAAAAATGTGTTAAGACTGGACCACTCAGTGGTCTAGTAGTGAAAGCAGCTGGATCTCACATGGCCAAAAACAGTTGAGTTCCAGAACTGGTGGCTTGAAAAACACACTAGACACGTGTGTCCCCAAAATCTCGAGGGATTATAGTATCAGCACCTCCCCCGCCCAACTCCCTCATCTCTGAAGCAAATATTTACCAAAAAAAAAAAAAAAAAAAAGAAGTCTAAAAGTCTAAGAATAGACATTCTCAAAACTCTTTTATTTGTACTTGAATCAAGCAAGCTTCTCTTATAGATTTAGAAATTAAGCCCTGGGGTTGGATTCCAGTTCTAACTTTGGGACCTTTCCCACTGGTATCCATCCATTGCCTGGCAAAGGTATTAAAGGGGCAAAGGGTAGGGAGATAACCAACGGCTTAATGCTTGAAAGGATTTTTCAAAAAAATAAAACCCCAAAACGTATCCCTCAATTTGTTGCACCTCAAATTTCTTAATTGCTCTCAGACTGTAAGTGCTCTGGGGTAGAGTGCAAACACCTGAGAATGACCAGGCCCTGGGCTAGATGATGGGGTTCAAATGATTAACAGGAGGTTACTGTTAATGGAACTCAATGTCCCAAGAAAAGCAGACCATGCCAACACCACCTATAAGTGGAAGACTGCTGCAGTCGCATTCTCAAGTCTTTAAATGTCGTTTAAACTGGGTGAAAATCTAAAGGTGGAGTATTCTATTGTCCAACTTCTCCACGCCCCACACTTCTGACTTATCCAAAGTATATGCTTTCTCACTTACAATGGATTGGTCGTTAATTTCCTACATGTCTGCTAAAGCACTTTGCAGTTGCTATTACAAAGAAAAACAGACACAACTTTTCTCTTTTAACTTTAGTTTTAAAAAAGCTTGGGAGAGACCAGCAGTTGGAGTGATGGCTATGTTGCTGGACTCCCATGTAGTCGACCGCAGTTTGAGTCCTGGACCCGGGGGCTTAAACTCATGCCGGGCGCATGTGCGTGCATGCCCACGATCCCGAGAGGAGAATGGAGGAGAAGGGATTGCGGCGTGACCATCCCCCCCCGGGGGGGGTGATTTATCACTTTCTGTCTCTGGAAAGCACATGCACCCTAGAGCTAAAAAGGGAAAAAAGGCTTGGGAAATTTCAACATACACACAGAAGAATCTTCCTATAACTACCACCTAGCCTTAAGAATGATCACCTGGGGACCACAGTTAGCATAATGGCTATGTCGCTGGACTCCCATGTAGTCGACCGCAGTTTGAGTCCTGGACCCGGGGGCTTAAACTCATGCCGGGCGCATGTGCGTGCGTACCCAAGATCCCAAGAGGAGAATGGAGAAGGGACCGCAGCGTGGCCATCCCCTCTAGGGGGTGATTTCTCACTTTCTGTCTCTGTCAAACGCATGCGCCGTATAGCAAAAGCCTCTCCAAAATAAAGATCACCTGATGTCCATTTCATGTCGGTATTTAGATTATGCTGTTCTTGACAATTATAGGTCTCACGAAACAAACAAAAATGAAGCAAACAACACACAGCACAGTAAGTTTTTACAGTTTTATTTCAGGTAAAAGTGCATTTCTTTAAAAAACGTTTCCGAGTCTCAACTGCCAAGTGATAATAGTCAACACTCAATGGTTCATGAATGGTTTTATTGCGGATCAGATTCTCCCCTGAAAGTCCTAATAAAATATGAACTTTTTAAGTACACATCTGTGCTTCAAACACTATATAAGACGTTACAGAATCAAAAACTGCACCCTTACTTCCCACCTACTAGTGCAGTTAAGGAATGAACAGGTACTTCTGTTATGTTTCAACTTATATCATTTGAAAAGCTTATCAGATATAAATACTTGGTGAATGTAAACTAAACTCTCTTAGAATTAACCAAGGGCTGGGACAAAAATACTATAGGTTTATTAAGTGACTGATGTGGCTTCTATTAGTCTTTTTTCTAAGTGCAAATCAGTCAGGTCTATCCACAGGAGGTAGGGTTGAGGTAACTCACCAACACAGAAAGCAAACTCCTATGACTCAATTTCAGTTGTGACTTTATTAGTGCCAGATGCCTTTCCCTCAAACTATCTAGGTCCCTTAATATCACAGAAAATAGGTCACAAACTAGTTTGAGAATTTAAGAAAAAGGATTCTAAAAATGTACTAGCATTTCCTAGTGTGAATTTGAGTAATAATGAAAGAACAACAAGGCTGTCTAGGGCCAGATAGTATATATTTTAGGCATGGAGGGCTACACAGTCTGACTACTCAGGTCTGCACTGCAGTAGGAAAGCAGCCAAGGACTGTATGTATGTGAGCATGGCTCTGTTCCAGTAAGGCTCCATTTCTTTATTTTCATGTGTCACAAAAATTTCTATTTTTCAATCAGTTAAAAAAAAGTGTTAGCTCACAGGCAGCACAAAAAGAGGTGGTGGGACCAACAGGTAGTATAGTGGTTAAGGCACTAGACTCCACATGGCCAACCAGTTGGGGGTCCCAGAACTGGCGGGTAGAAACACACCAAGGTGTCTATGTGTGCACGCCCAAAATCCCAACTGGAGAATGGAAGAGAAGGGATTGCAGTGTGGCTACCTCCCCCCCTCCCCGCCCCACCCCTGACATGATTTCTCACTGTCTCTTTGCCTCTCCAGTAAGCTCACATGCCCAATAGAAGAATCTCAACCAAAACAAATCAATAAACAAGTGGCAGGCTATAGCTTGCCAATCTGAGCTCTATAAATACTTAGAAGTTAAGACTGTCATTCTTCAGTTTCTATACTCAAAACTGACTTGCCTCTTAATACTATTTTCTTATAGAAAACTCCCATTCTTTAAAAATAAACTCTCTAGACATGTGCTATTCAATTATGTAGCAAATTATACTACAGTCCACATTCACTTTTTTGAAGGTGAACTTCCATCTATTTAAAAAATGAAGCTGCCTTTTGTTAGGAATGACTGTTTTGGGGAGGGCAGAGTAGTAAATTGATGCATAATTTTTAATAATCACTGTACTTATGAGCAATTAGGGTACTATGTCATAGGCTAGCTCTCAGGGACCAGACTGCCAGCTGTTTTCAAAGCCTATAGGATGTACTACCCCTGTAGCAAATAAACTAACTGCATTATTATATTTTGGCTCAATCTGCCTTCCTCATTCTTCATTTTATCATGTTCAGTTTCCACCAGCATATAAGCCTGCTGTCTACTGGGTTGTCAGAAAAGTTATGACATTTTTTCTATACAAAAATACATCAAGACTTTCCAACAACCCAATAGTAAGCTCAACCTTTTCTATAATTATAAATTGGCACACTGTGACCAAAAAATATTCCCTGAGTAGAAAAGTTATGTAGTTCTTTCTTCTTTGTATCATCAATTGAAAATACTGCCCTCAATTGGACAGTCTCAGGTAAAGGAGGGTTAATCTTTTATACTAATGGTATCTTCCAGAGGTGTAAGCATTTACATATCATGTCAGTTGGATTTTAATTGTTCTTTGGAAAAAAGTTTAGTATATAAAAGGAAAATGGTTAAAGATACATCATAAAATTTAACATTCTATTCCAATAACTAAGTAAACTCTCATAATTGTTAAGACTACTACTGTTAAATACTCACAGGTTTTCAAGCCTGAAATAGCCAGATTTTAATGAACACAGATCAAATATGACTGTCACGTAGTACACATAATCTATCAGTAAGTGGGTCATCAGACATCATAAAACCCGATTTAACTTACAAATGAAGACACTGATAAATCTAGTAAACCAATCTTAAAAAACCTTAACTTTAGGTTTCATTTTTCTTGATGTTTTGAATAACAGCAGTTCTCACACAGTTTCTAAATATGTGAGAACTAACATTTTAAGAGAATTCTAGGAAAAACTCAGTTTTAGAGAATCAAATTATTCAAACTCCACTGTATAATGAACCAGGGATTTTCAATCATATAAAGTAATAGCAAATTAAAGTAAGATGAGGTCTTTGGTTAGACAACAGGGCCTATCTGATAGGTATGACTTCATTATGGCACTACTAACTTAACTGAAATATTAAGGGTATTCTGTTTTCGGTATTAAAAATGAAGATACATAATGAATTGTAAGGTTCATTTAAACACTATATATTGGGTTATCAGGAAAGTCATGACATATTTTTATGGTTTTCTGTGCAAAACATGTTATGACTTTCCCAATGACGCATTATTTATATTTGAAAAATTGGCTTCATATTAGTAAAAAAAAAAAAAAAAGTGAGAAAATAATCAACATATACTCATGAAAAAATACTTTATCTGCTTTATTAATAAAGTTTCTGGGGCCAGGAGGAAGCCTACTGGTTAAGGCACTGGACACCCACATGGCTAACTGTGGTTCACGTCCTAGACTTGGTGGCCTGAAAAGAATCACGCTGGGCACATGCATGCCCAAAATCCCAAGAGAAGAGTGGAGGAAAAGGGAGTGTTGCATGGCCATCTCCTGGGAGGTGACTTCTCACTTTCCCTGTCTCTGTCTCTCGGGCACACATGCCATATTTTGAAAAGGCTCCGAGAGGCAAAGTTCTACTTTCTTTAAATGTCTGAACTTTTAGGAATCCAAGAGACTGGTCTGCATCCCCAATTCATAAACTTATAGAAGAGTAAATTTTATCTTTTGTGTCAGTAATTTTAAAAATACAAATCTAATTGGGCTATTAGAATTTAATTCATAGCTTAATGCCTCTTAAGACCTATCTACTACAAGTTCAGTCCAGACTCAGTATCTGTGTGGAACTACTGGAAGTTGGTTAGAAATGCAGATTCCTAGGCCCCACTGCAGACCTATCGAAACATAACATTTTTACATGCATGTACAAGTTTGAAAAGAATTGTGTTAAAAATTAAAATTTCAGTCTAACATCTACATACAAAGCCTAAGACCTTCGTAATGGTTTAGGGGAAAAATGAACGTGGGTTGTGGTAAAATGCAAATATTGCCTCCTCCTGCACCAAAGTCCTTGCCAACAACTACTATTTTACAACCTCTTAGCCTAGCCGACAAATAAAATCCTGGAAATCCATCCTAAAGAATAAGCTGGGTCAGCTGGTGGCATGGTGGTTAAGGTAGCTGGATCTCACAAGACCAACTGTGTAATTTGAGTTTTAGACCCTGCCACTTGAAAAACACAATGGACACAAGTGTGTGCATGCCCAAAATCCCAAGTGGAGAACAGGGAAGAAAGGACTGCAGTGTGACTTATCCCCCTGGGGAGTTCTTTCTCACTTTCCCTATCTCCCTATATGTCACTCTTCTGTGAGCACGTGTGCTCTATTAAAAATTGGGGGGAAAAATGAAATCTAGGTTGCTCATGTTAAGTCAAAGATGAAAGGAATGACATAAAAGAAAAATATTAACTCATTCATAACTTCTCTTACATTGCAACTAAGACAGCTTTTAAAACAGTTCTTATTTTTCATTATTCTCATTCCTTTACTTAAAAAAAGGCTCCACGGGGACCAGCAGATGGCGTAATGGCTACGTTGCCGGACTCTCATGTAGTCGACTGCGGTTAAAGTCCCGGACCCAGTGGCTAAAACTCACGCCAGGCATGTGTACATGCATGCCCAAGATCCTGAGAGGAGAATGGAGAAGGGATTGCGGTGTGGTCATCCCCCCTGGGGGGTGATTTCTCGCTTTCTGTTTGTCTCTGTCTTTCTGGCGAGCGCACGCGCCCTATAGCAAAAACCTCTCCCCCATCCCCCAAGAAAGGCTCCATGTATATATTTACATTCCTCCCCCCAAATTTGATTCTTACCTTGCCACTTATTTCTGACATTATAATGATTTTTAAACATGTAACAGAATCCCTGACTACCTTCAGGCTATAGAGAAAAAATATTCAGGGGCAGTCCAGATTAAGTTAGACTTTTGACTATATTATCCCATAGCATCATTTAACCTGATTTACCCTATACAAACTGTAATTAGAATAAACTTCTATACCATTCAGCGATGGCTTTCAAACTCGTTCAAATTGCAGAGCATCAGTAGTAACAGGCTTGCTTAAATTGTGAAAATTTAAACGCACTATGAAATCTAAAATAGTATTTCATATATACATATATATATATATATATAAATACTACACTCCTGCATGTTATCCTACTCTTTTCAAATAACACATAAAATGATTAAAGTACATTTCCTGTGTTCTTATTAATATTTGCCATCTATCTTATTAATTATTAGAAAAAACCTGAAAAACAAACATTTTAATAGTGAAACAAAAACACTGGCATGGACCAAAGAATATTAATGCTTTTTGCTATGCAAAAATTATTAAGGGGAAATCTAGAGAAAATTATAAGAAATTAACACTTGTGCCTACTATTAAATTTAGTGATCTAAGTAAATACAACCTTTTTGGCCGCATTGTCTGCTATTTTTCAGCTTCCCAAGAACTTCGAACCAATACGTTTATACAAATGTTAAGACATGCAGTCATGAACTGAGTTAATTTTGACTCCACACTGTATTAAATCTCCTCTCCTCCCCCCCCCACACATATTCATACTTTTTCAGTTAAAAGAAGGGGGGGGAGCTCTTTTTACTATTTAATATAATTTGAGAAATGGACAGTATAAACCATAATTATATTCTATTTCAAAAACTATATTTTGTTCATAATTTAAGCTACAATTCTTAGCTCAAAGGATCACAAAAATTTCTAAAACCATCTTCAGTTTATGAATATCACACTTAAACCCAAAAATATTTGTAGCGATCATCAGTATATGATTACAGGGGGAAAAACCCCCACAACTTTTATAGGGGGCTCGTTGGAAGTTTTTGCTGAATATAAGAAAGGTACCCAGACAAAAGTATTAAGCTCTATGAACTGCTCTAGAATATGTGCCTTTATAAGATAAAGATTAGGTTTTGAATAAAGCACTCATTCTGTGCAGAAAATGAGATATATTTGTAGTTTAAAAAAATAAACAAAATAGGGTGAGCAGGTGTCATGGTAGTTAGGGTACTGGATTCCACATGGCCAATTTTGCTGTCAGCTGCTGATCAGGCAGCCTAAAAAAAATCTTGCTGTGTGCATGGGCCCAAAGTTCTAAGAGAAGATGAAAGAGTAGGAATTGTGGCATGGTTATCATCTTGGGGGGTAAGTTCTCACTTTCCCCTTCTCTGTCTCTCTCTGGTGAGTGCATATGCAAAAAATCAACACAGAACAAAAATTAAGAAATATAGAAAGTCAGGTTCTAACACTAGTTGGTAAAATTTACAGATGTTTTAATTATGTACCCTATTTTTTTTAAAGTAGGCACAAAACACGCCATATGAAAAGAATAGCTCCAAATTTCTTCTAAATTTTCTTTTGGGCGTAGGTGAAATAAGCAGGTAAATTTCAGATTTCTCACAGTCTAACTTATAATTAAAATAGTAAAACTAACTCTCCATTAAAAAGAAATGTAATGAGGCATGTTTTCTAGTGGTTGATACCCTCTTATAAACCGAAGGACAAAAATAAGTAAAGGCATGAATATCAAGTTATATGTTAACATTTTCACCTTTCTGTAATGTTATTCATTCTGGATACTATAGAAAATAAAACTCATATTTTAACTAAGACTATTAACTAAGTACAAAACTATGTTATTTTATTTGTAGAAAGACTCCTACAAATACCTGCAGCAAGCCCATGATGCACTTCTACTGTCCATACCGATATCTCAGTATTTGATATATACAAAATAGGTTTCTATTAAACAAAATCAAGCCATTTACAAGAAGCTGGAGAAATATCAATGCAATTAACAAGGAAATTCATAAATTAAAAATGTCATCTATACATAATATACAAAGAGGCATGCATTTAAAAAGGAATACTATGTTTCCTCACAGGCAAATGCTGCTCCACAAATATTTGCTAATATAAATGAATGATATCTCACTCAGTAAATTAAACAATAATGCAACTCCTGGAAGCTAAAACCTTCAGTTTTTTTTTTTGCTCAAGTTTTCCAAAGTTGACACCTGCAGTGAAAAGTTCTGCAATTCATCTGAGATGTTTACCCAGAACAAATTTCCTAAAACTCAGGCACAATAAATGTGATTTACAAAGAAAAAAATGAAGTATAAACACCTTTATCAGTTCAACAAAAATTCAAATAAAAATTCTCAATTTTACTTCAAATATTTTACATTACATGTTTCACCAGAATATGTATAAGTTTATAAGTGTGAGGCAGAAAAAAAGTATGCTTCTATTCTAGTTTTTGCTTTCACATCTTACTAAATAATTAGAGTTCTTGAAAAACTACGCATAGCAGCCAAGAAAATACATTATATCAAAAAAAAAAGACCTTACATAATGAAATTATAAAATTTAACTTACATAAGTCATTGTCCTTTGGGGTTTAAAATGTTATCAACTTTACAAATAGTTTCTTCTCTGAAATTGTGCTAAACTTCAGAACTTATTTTAACAATCAAGAAATCCAGTGATGTTAAAAGAAACAAACAAATGAACAAGCAAACAAACAAAACACACACCTACACACAAAACTTCAATTGTCTGAAAATTCTAAATAGAATTTTCCTGGGTTGGTGACCTCCAACGTGACTGTAGATTTCTTATTATACAGTTTGCCATACTACCCAGTTTTTCATGCATTTCAAATAGCTGGCTTCCTGAATAATTATGGAGATCCTCTGAATCCAGCTGAAGAGCAAGATTATTAATCTGGGCCACAAGGTTTTTAGATAATGGAGGTTCTAACGCCACGGGATCAACCAAATCTAAAAGAGAAAAGATGCACGAGTAAGTCTATGCCAGATAAAAATTAAACTATAGCTTTTTTTTTTTTCTCTTAAAGAATTATTTTGGGGCCAGCAGTTAGCATAATGGTTATGTTGCTGGACTCCCATGTAGTTGACCACGGTTCGAGTCCCGGACCCAGAGGCTTAAACTCACACTGGGCATGTGTGCATGCATGCCCAAGATCCCAAGAGGAGAATGGAGGAGGAAGGATTGCAGTGTGTCCATTTCTCACTTACTGGTGAGTGCACGCACCCTACAGCAAAAATCTCTCTAAAAATAATAATAATAATAATTATTATTATTTTATTTAACTTTAATAAGAGAGAGACGGAGTGAGAGAGTGAAAGCAAGCCACCAGGTCCAGCACTTGAACCGCAGTCAGCCATATGGGAGTACAGCGCCACAATATTTGCTAGCCCCCAAACTGTACCTTTTTTTTAAGTTAACTAAAAGTTTAAGTGCCTAGGTTTCAGGCCGAGGTACTCCTGCTTAGAACAAGATGACAGAAAAATCCACTACACCACAATTTATTACTGTTATTAAAGAAACAGACAATCTACTTTGTTTTTATTAACATAAACTACAATAGAATATAATTTTTACATCCTTATTATAGACCTCAATAAGCTAGAAGTTTACAATTAGAGAAAACCCAGACATAGTTTAGGTCAGATCAACTTTTTCTAATGTACTCAGCATCAAGCACACACAGAAAATAATTACTGAATTAACAGTGCCTGGTTTTAGAACTAAAAACAAAAACAACCAAATATTTCTTCAAGAAAAGTCAGCTGATCTAAATAAAATTGTCCTACTTTGCTGAAACATACCTGAGGCAAGTCTTTCCTCATCAGAAGACAGAGATTTATTTTCGATTCCATTTAATGTTTTTTCAGAAATATCAAAAACTGGAATCTCTTCTAGTCCACGAGACTTCACCTTGGTGATATATTCAAAGCACACACGCACAAAGATCAAAATTAACTTAATAGAAATACTAATAAAAACACTGGAAAATAACACACTATTTAAAACATATAGCCCATCATAAATAACTAATATTACTAAAAAATTGTTCTACTAACTACACACAAAAAAGAAGGACTATAATCATGTACTACAAAATGTGTGGTTAAACAACAGTTCAAGGGGCCAGTAGGTGGCATGGTGGATAAGACATTGGACTCCTACATGGCCATCTGAGGTTTGAGTCCTAGAGCCCTTTAGAGAAGGAAGGAAAGAGAAAGGAAGGAAAGAAAGAAGGAACAGTCAATGGTATAATGGATTTCTAAGAAAATATAGCAATGGTAGGTGAAAAGGTACATTTTATTTCCAAAGTTCAGGAATAAGGGGGGGGCGGGGAGAGGAACCCTAGATTTCGAAACTTAAATAACAGATGGGTTTCTTTCTTTTTTAAAAAATAATTATTTTATTTAACTATTTTTTTTGAAGATGAGAAAGAGAGGAAAGGGGAGAGAGAAGAGAGAGAAAGAAAGAAGGAAAGTGAGAAAGCAAGCTGCCAAGTCCAGGACTTGAAATGTGGTCAGCCATGTGGGAGTCCAATCACCTTAATCAACACACCACCTGCCACCTCTATGGGTTTCTTTTAAAAAGAAAATAATTTTTTAGGTGTGAGCAGGGCCCATGGACCACTTATTCAGATATTAGCATTTCAAAAAGTTACAAGTCACCACATACTCAGCAATTCCACCTCTACATATATAGGAGAACAAAAACATCTGACCAGGCAAAAACCTGTATGAATGTTCACAGTAGCATTATTCATAATAGTAAAAACATGAACGAATAAAATGTGGTACATTTCTATGATGCTATATAATTTAGCCTTAAAAAGAAATTTTGACACAATGCTCAGCATGGTTAACTGTGCTTTTGTTTTTTTATTGGAATAATTATTTAATTTTATTTGCTATTGTTTTTTAAATTTTGATGAGAGAAAAAGAGAGAAAATGAAAGGGAAAGTTAGAATGCAAGCCAGCAGGTCCGGCACTTTAATCATGGAAGGGCATGTCAGAGTCCAGCACCTTAACCACCATACCACCTGCTGGTCCCCCTGTTTAAACTTAAAAAATAAGTCACAAAGCTAGGAATAGTCCAGGTGGTGATACCTAGGTGTCCCAGGGCTTTGTAATGCCAGACCCACATTGGGAGGGTCGTGGGTTGTCCAGCGCCACTGGGTGTGTGCATACCCATGATGGCCGGTTGGCTGTGGCTGTGTGCAAATTACAGTGCCAAAAGCCTCTTGGAAGACCTGTCTCTCTTAGCTTTGAAAAATGAAAAAAGAAAGAAAAAGACCACAGGTTGTGTGGTTCTACTTTTATTCAATGTCCCAAATGGGCAAATCTATAGAGTGGTTGCCTAGGGCTGAGAGTGCAAATAAGGAATGACATCTATGGGGTCAAGGTTTCTACTTGGAATGATGATAAAAATGTTTCACAGTCAGATTATGGGGATGACTGCAAAACTACACTAAAAGTCATTACACTTCTGAGTTGGTAACTTTAATGGTATGTAAACTGTATCTTAATAAAGCCATCAAACATATTTGTATATAAGAGCACTGGTTTTCAACTTTAACATATTTTATCTTTCATTTTTTCACAATTTTTACTAGTATCAATGGATAGTCTTTCTCAATGGGTTTTAGGAGAGTCTGTGAATACGTCTGAAAATATATAACTTAGTTACGTATTGTTCTAAGAGTAGAATTTGGCTTTCACCAGAATCTTGAAAACACCCATTATGCAAAATGTTCACATGCACAAGAAAAATAAGTCGCAGACGTGCTAAGTACCAAAGTCAGAATACTGTGACCTACAAATTTCCAAGGTTTTTGTAGATGTCTGATGGAGTATTTGAATTTTAAAAATAACAGCCATAAAATAAATCACCAATTGGTAGAAATGAAAGAGAGAAGGGAGTAGAACAGAATTTAAGTAAGCCTGAGGTGCATTACATAAAGTGCAAAACTGAACTAACTTCAGTGAAATTACAAAATAATCTTCTTTTAAAAAGAATTTTGCGAGGTGATGCATGTGCTCATGGAAGAAAGAGAGAGGAGAGAGAAAGAATGTGGAAAAAGTACCCCGGTAAGGAATGGTCAGACTGCAATACCTTCTCTGTTTCTCCTTCCCATTGGAATCTGGGGCACACACGCACAGGTGCCCAGCCCTAGCTTTTCAAGTCACTAGGTCTAGGACTTGAACCATGCAGCCAGCCATGTGGGATCCAACCACCTTACCTGACTGCCAGCTGGCCCATAAGTTAATGTCTTAAGTTACTACTCTGTTGCTGCTGTTCAAAGACAGGATCTTGTTGAGTTATGACCCTCCTGCCTCAGACACCCAGCTGGGGGACAATACCACTGTACCAGGCCTTTACACTGTACCAGAAATCAAACCGGGGCCTCCCAAAGTGCATTCAGCCTGCAAAATATCTAATATCACTGATGAGCCTTATGATGAGCCTTAAGTTACACTTAACAATGGGAGAGATAGTACTCTCAAATGGTTTTTAAGCAAGAGTAATTCAAATACAAATTTCCATAATGTATTGTGACATAATTTACTAATAATACATGATTTATAACTAACATCAAAGTTTCTACCTGTTGCTCATGATAAACTCTCAGAGCCTTTTTTACATTGGACACTTTTGGAGACCGAATAGGAAGTGTTTTTATTTCAGACGGTGTAAGAGTACTCAAATCACCAATTGTTTTTATATTCTTGGCTCTAATAAGTTGTCCCAGGCCTCTTGCCCTGAACGGATAAGAAAAAGGGGAAACATAATTATCCAATTTTATTTACATGATACTTACAAGGTCTTACATAGTTGAATTTTCCATTTTTAAGCTCAAGCATAACTGAGTTAATTTATGTAGGCCCACCTAGTATGTGCAACATAAAATATAGTATTGGAACCACCATACACCTATCACATACCACATGCTTTCCAGAAATCACTCTTTCTAATAGAAAAGACTTACATTTCTTTAGCATATGTAATTGCTCACTAACTGTGTTATATACAAAGAGGTATGGCAGAAAAAGTAAAACTTGTCATTTTACCATAGTCAGTTCAGGCTCCTTTGCTTTAGCTCTGCTATCCTATCCTATATCCTCCACACTTTTTATTTTTTAGTTTGCTACAGGGCACATGGAGAGACATGAGATAAAGAAGGAAAAGTGAGAAATCATACTCAGGGGGGATGGCCATGCCACAACCCCTTCTCCTCACAGGAGTTTTGGCACACACCCATATCCACGTTTCCAGGGTATTTTCAAGCCTCCTGGTCTGGGATTTGAACTGAGCAGTCAACCATTAGGATCCAATCACCTTAGCCTTTGTGGCACCTGCTGGCCCACCTATATCCCTATTAATATTCTTTCCCCTACATTTTTTTTCCTTAATCACCAGGTGTGTGTATTCACCAGCAACAGAGAGAGAGAAAGGGAGAGGGAGAGAACATCCTCCATGAAGCATGGTCACAATGCTATCCCACCTCTTCAATTTCTCTGTCCTATTCTGGGTACTTTATGCATGCATGCACATGAACGCACACATCCCCAGCATATTTTTTCCATACCCTGAGATTAGGACTCAACTGAGGTCAGCCATGTGGGATCTAACTCCTTTAACCACCAGAATATGGGACAAAAATCTTTCCCCAACTTCCTTAGTGAGAAATGAATTCAGTGTATATCTGATACACATTACTGAATCATTAAATTCTTTGTAGTTTAAGAGCAATTTCTCTACTGTTGCAGATAATACTCAGAGACAACAGCTTGATAATTCATTTAAAGAGGAACAATCCGAGTATCTCAGTTACCTGAAAAAATACTCCTAATCAAGATAACTAATCCAGAACTATCTATCCTCAAAGATGTAGTTTCCAAGACTCACAATAATATCAACAAAATAGACTTTAATTAAAAATAAATAAATAAAACAATTCCTGGGGTCAGTAGGTGTCAGCTCAATTACCAGACCCAGAGGCCTGAAACTCACACCAGGCATAAGTGCGTGTCTGATCAAAATCCCAAGAGAAAAATGGAGAGGGGATTGTGGTGTGGCTATCCCCCATTAGGAGTAATTTCTTTCTCTCTCCAGTGAGTGCATTTGCCCTGAGTCGAAAATCCTTCTCTCAAAAAGTAAAAACCAAACACACACACACACACACACACGGTGCCAGTAAGTGGCATAAAGGTATAAGGCTCTGGATTCCACATGGCTGGCTGCCCAGTAACAGTCCAGTCCAAGACCTGGTGGCCTGAGAATCACACTGGGCACTTGTGCATGTGTGCCCCCCAAAATCCTGAGGAGACAGGAGGAGAAAGAATTGCAACATGGCCATTTCCCCAGGGGGTGATTTCTCACTACCCATACGCCCATCACTCTGGCGAGTGTGTAGGCCCTATAGCAAAAACAAAACCAAAAAGTTTTAAGTTTTCTGTTGAGTCTCATGCTTCCAATTCACAGCTTATTATCTGTAGAATTTTGATGGCTAAACTATTGTAAAACTCATTCCACAGAGTGGAACTAATAATCACGTTCCCCACTGAGCTTATGTTAGCATGAGAAAAATGCTGTAAAAGGTTTAGCACTTGGTAAATATTAAACACATATTTATCTCATTATTGTAGAATAAATACTTCTCATTGCATCCCTTCTGGCCAACATTCCCAGCTGTATTTATGTTTTAAATATTAATAAAATGTATGTGGATAAAATCAATTCTAAATATGAGAACCTTAACCATTCAAACATTTCTCTGGCATTTTGGAATATATGCCAGAAGACCAAGTAGCTACTTACCACATGTTTGATGTAATCTGAGGTAAAATGATGTCAACTGGTGCCAAACAGTTCACTAAGGCTGGGTAAACACTTTCTGTTGGGCAAGGCACAGATTCTTTTGCCATTTCTGTGATCTAAGAATAAATTTCAAAAGCTGTTAAATAAGAGTTCACCTGACTGAACACAAAAATTTTAAGTTACATGAAAACTAAAGCACTTCTTACTAAACACTTCTTTGAGCTCTTAAATTTAGGGCTACGTGATCCTGAGGACAGATATCCTTTGGCAGAAGTGGTATTATGCTGGACAGAAGAAAGGAGAGAAAAAAAAAAAACTCAGAACCCTAGGTAACTATAACAACTTAATTTTCACAATTTTAGACTTCAATTTAAAATTTCAGAAAATATAAAATGAACTGAATAAACTACCACCAAATTAATAACTGTGCCAGATCATCATTGACTCTTGCAATCTATTCTCATGTCTATTTACCAAATGGCAGAAACAAAATATATCCAAACCACATTAGTTGTTTCTTAATTTTAAGACAAACTACGCACATGCCATTCTGTGTCTATATATACATATTATGTCTATTTTAAAACTTCTAGCTTACCTTATATTGTAAAGTAGGTGAAGTTTTAACACTTTTTACTAAGGGAAAACTATTTGAAGAATGGGACCTAACAATAGAGCATCGCCTATCAATGTCATCTGCCAATCCTGCTTGGTATATTGGATCTGCAAAGGAGACACGGCGAACCTGAAAACAGAAGTTAGGTTTTTATTTAACAGAATAAAAACAAAGTTTTTAAAAAAGTAACTCCACAATTCTCATTACGAAGTTACTAAAAATCAGAACATGAGTTTAGAAATTTTATTTTATGACAAGCCAATGCACAAAGCTGTTGTTTTTCCTAGTGACTGCTTTCATAATGTTTGTCAATACCAAATTAACTTTTAAAAAAATTATTTCATTTTATTTTATTTGTCATAACTTTAAAATGTGACCAGAGACAAAAAAAAAGGGAAAGTGAAAAACCAAGATGCCAAGTCCAGGACTCAAACTGTGGTCCACCATGTGGGAGCCCAACGCCTAAACACACCACCACCTGCTGACCCCTCCAAATTCATTCTAATTAACTATGCTGCAAACCAACTCTGCATAAGATAACATTGAAGACTGTGAACAGGGATAGTAGAAACCTAATGAAACTGCATATGGCAACTGAAACTGTCTAATCTGGTTCTAATAATCTTATGGGTTTAATTAATAAACTAGGACGAACAAATGGTAAAAAACAAACAAACAAAAAAAAAACAGAGAAAACTGGTCTTGGGTATATCTTACTAATCTCTGCTCTAAACTTTGAGGGTTAATTTCAGAGTCACAATAATTGAGTTAAAATTTTTTGTCTTTTCAGTCCCAGCTTGAAGTAATTTTGGCCCCTTCTAAATGCACACAGTATTTTCACTCATTTGGCTATTTGATATAAATACATCCTAAAGTAGTCTTACACCATTAGTATGTTTTTACACATCTTCTGGTCTGGGTTCCTAAAAGTAGGCAGAGTCATATATATATATATATATGCTACAGAAAGTATAATATGATGGTCTAAATAAAATATGGTATGAGCTACTATTAAATCAACCAACCAACTAGTTAATCAACTTGCATTAAAACCTAAAATATATTCAAGACAGACATCAATCTTGGGATGGCCTATGTTATAGTGGTTAAGGTGGTTGGAACCCACATGGCTAACTGCTTGGGTAAGTCCTAGACTTTGTGGTTTGATAGTCATGCCAAGTGTGTGTGCATGTGTGCCCGAAATCCCTCTGAGGGAGAAATAGAGGCAGGATTAAGATGTGACCATTCCACAAAGAGGGTATTTTCTCACTCTTTCTCCTTCCAGTTAGCACATGTGCTTTTCTAGCAGATTTATAAAAAAAAAAAAAAAAAAAAAAGACATCAACCTTGATGCATTCTATCTTCAGAAACTTTTCAAGGGTTCTTGTGGCCTACTAGGATACTTTATAACCCTGTCAAAAAAAAAAAAAAATGCACAAGACAAAAACTCAGGAGCTGTGAAGTTTTCCCAAATAAATTAATATTTGAATTCTCATCAGAATTTTCGGTATATTTTTGTAAGTTAAAATATAATTAACTGCTACAGGAGTAGGAATTTAAATAAAGAATTTAAAAATGTGCCTGCTGAAGGTTAAAAATCAAGGTGTCATGTTTATATATATGGATATATACATATACAGACAGACAGACAGACAGACAGACACACACACACACGTATATAGAGAGTAAATAGGGTCAATCTCAAAATGAAGTAATGGGGGCTACCTCCATGATCTAGTGGTTAAGAGAGCAGGATCTCAGCTCTGGCATCTTGAAAATAAGTTGGGCATTTGTGCATGCCCCCAAATCCCAACATGATGGATAAGTTGAAGAGAAGGGATTGAGGTATAACAATATTCCACTGAGGGGTGCTTTCTCTCTCTTCCTGTCTTGCTGGCAAGTGCATACACTCTCTAGTAAATTTTCTTTTCTTTTTTTCTTTTTAGAATTTACTATAGGGCATGTGTGCTTGTCAGAGAGAGAGAAACAGAAAGCAAAAAATCACTCCGCAGGGGTGATGGCCATATCACAATCCGTTCTCCATTTGCCTCTCAGGATTTTGGGCAAACACGCGCTCGGCATGAGTTTTAGGCTGCAAAGTCTGAGACTCAATCCGCAGTCAACTATGTGGAAGTCCAGGGACGTAACCATACACAATCTGCTGGTCACCCCTCTTGTAAATTTTTTAAATATAAATTTAAAAAAAAATTAAAGAATGTCAGCACTACACCTTCTCAGACTATCAACTTTGTTACAAGATGAGTTGAGCAATGTGAATACATATAATTCCCCATCCCCCTTTTTAAATTTTTTTACTCAACTGTGTACAAAGCACAGGCCAGAAGCTAAAGACGACACATAGATAATCCATGTTTCTTAAACTAAAGAAGCTATAATTTAGGAGATACAAGTAATTATAAATGAAATCACATCTAGAAATTGACAAAACTATAGCCTAAGGAGAGAGATTATTTTAATTTAGATATGGTCTGGAAAATAGTTTGTGTTACATAAACACTTATGTGAAACAGAAAGCATAAAGTCTCACATCACACAAGTTCTAAGCCTGCTCTAACAGCAGTCCATGTCACCTAAGTTCTGTTTATTTATTACGGAGCAGAAAGTCACCTTAAGAAAACCTTGCTAATTTTGCCAAAGGTAACAACGTGCTCAATTATATAAAGATCTTTAGGGAATAAAATGAGTACCTAAGTGGTTTATGTCCACTTTGTTCAATATCTCTCCTCCTACCCACCCTTTTCCCTGGCAACCATGGTAAATAATCAAAAATGAGTTCTGATGTCCTTCATTCACAAGGTGATACTGTATGGCCAAAATAATTTCAATCAAATATTGGATCCCATAATATTCAGCTTCATTCTCCCTACCTTATTGACAGGTGATGAGATCTCATCTTCTTGGGGTCTTTTCAGTCCTCTCTTTAAAATGCTGGTGGATGGAGAAGCCAAAGGAGACCAGACACAACGTGTCTGTGTGCCACTAGGACTCTCATTTGCTGACAGAAATAAGGTACTAAGTTCCTTTAATTTTTGAGGAGTTGTATTATCTTCTGTTATCAGTTCAGAGACAGCTGTTTCAGATGTCACAGACTGTGATGCATCCTCCACTTTCCCAGAAATATGGAGAATTTCTTGTAAATTATCTTCATTTCCTACTATCGCTCGACTGTCATCTGGATTTGTTTCTTTGGATTTATTAAGTTCAGTCTGTATTTCAGTTTTATTAGAGTCAATCTTCCCTTCTTCACTGTTCATTTCAAATGTGTCATTGTCTATTACTGCATTCAAGCTTTTTGTTTCAGCTTCATGTTTAGAGGTTTTGGTGATCATATCCCTATCCTCTGTCTCATTGGGATGGTGAGATTCAGCATCTACTGCTGTGTTAATTCCTGCACAATTTTCTATTTCAGCATTCACTTCTTCAGATGAGCTTGGATCAGGTTCATCCTTTCCCCCATTTAGATTGCAAACTGTTTGTTCAGAAATCTCGGTTTGATAATTCACTTTTACAACTGTGGTAATATCAGAAAGACTAATATCTGAATTAAATTCTTCAGGTGCTACTTCTTTAGCATTCAGTTCATCTGTGTCTGCTTCAGGTTTATTACTTTTTTCAATACTGTTTGCCATTGCCACTTCTTCAGAAATAACAATTTTGGCACTTTCTAGTTCAGGGACGCTAACTTCAGATTTGTCACTTTCTATATCCAATTCCATAGCTTCTACTTCCTCTAAATTTGATTTTGTTGTTACTTCACATACATTGTCTTCAACACTAACAACATTCTTTATACTTGTCTCTTTTACCAGGGTATTGTCTGGTTTTTCTTCTTCAGTCTCCATAGGAGAAAATTCCTGTGAAGTGTCTTTGGACTCACCTAAACATGGGCTAATTCTTTGGCTTTCAAGACATTCCTGAACGGTAGTTTCTTTTAACTCAGTTTTGGAAACAAGTAATGAGTCGTTAACAGTATCACTCTCTTCCTTGAGACCCAAATGAAAATTCACACTATGATACTCATCTAAAACTTCGGAACACAAATTGTTCCTGTTAGAAGTTTCTGAGACAGTTACAGTTGTTTGTGAGTCTGTCTTTTTCATTTCACTGATATTTACATCACAATTTTCTGTATTCCTTAAACCAATGAGTGATTTTTCCTGGGGCAGTGACTTTTCCCCACAGCAATCACAACTTTTAGATCTCCTTACTCTCCTACTTCTCTTGTGTTGGCATTCAGGTGTTTGTAAAGATTTTTCAGAAAGCAAAGAGATATCTGATGTCCCTATTTTTGAGGATTCTCCCAGACTACTAGTATCAATAGATTCTTGTTTTTGTAATCTCTTATTAGCATTTCTAGTCCTTAGATTGGATTCTGGCACAATTGGACTTAGAAAGGAATATTCTGCACATATGCTAGTTTTATTTTTTTCCTCACAAATATTTGGTATATCAGAAACTTGTGATAAATCTGAAGATAGCATAGAATCCTCGAGTATTACAGTACTTTCATCTTTTTTTTCACAAATTTGAGTTCTTAGGTCTACATCTACTTCAGAACTTGCTTTATAATCATGTGCCTGATTTTCCACTTTCACACATTCTTGTTTTACCATTTTTTCTTCTTGATATTCAATGTCAACAATGTCATTGCCTTTGTTTTTTCCTTTGCCAGATCTCTTCTTTCTTGAACCTTCTTCTTTTGCTTCAGAACTATCAGACTCTGAGTTTTCAATGCTGGAAAGCAAACCCTGAGATGCTCTTCTTGTTTGATACCGTGTTCGCCCTCTTACTGGTTTCTCAGAGGACTTATCTGTATTGTCCTGGGGACCATCTCCCTCAGATTTGGTATTTTCAAGGTCTGGCATTCTTTTATTTAGGTCAGTTTCAGCATTAGCACTGGTTTCCCCAAAAGTCTTTTCATGTAAACTATTTCCTTTCTCTATTAAATTTTCCTGTACAGTTTGCTCAGAAATCAGTTTTGGCTTAGGTAAAACATCATCTTTAACATGCAACTGACTCTTCTGGAGAGGTTTTTCTTCATCCTTACGTCTTTCCTTTTTTTGATGATTATTTTCTTTATCTTGGCTATCAGGGGTTGACTCTGCTATCTCTGAACGTCGCCTTGAAGACCTTCTAAGGGTTTTTTGATTTGGAGTTGTTGGAACTTGGCTTTCCTCATTAACCATTTGATCTGCTGGTATTACTGCTGGGGGTGTATTTTCTTTGGATTCCAAATTAATTCCCACATTCTCTTGTTCTACATTGTTTTCCAATGACACGGTGCTTTCTATTGCTGGTTTAAGCTTTGTGCCTTCATACTCCACTGTAGATTCAGAAAGATGAGCCTGATTATCTGACACACATTCTGTCTGATTAAGAAAACTAGGTGGACTATTTTCTAAGGCTATCATGCCTTCCATAGATTTCTTAGTATTTTTCTCCTGTTCAGGTTTCATTAAGGACTTAGACCTTTTATTACCTGTTTGTTCAGCTTTACCTGACCTCCGGCCTGCTCTCTTAACTCCCTTTACTATTTTGTCAGAGTCAGATTTTGAAAGATTCACTTCTCTTCTCTTTGCTTTTGGTGAAATTAGTATATTAGTCATGCTTCCCTGGTTATTTTTCACTGTAACAGCTGATGACATATTATTCAAAGGGGATGGGCTAAAAGGTCTATTTTCTGAGCCATCAAACTTTTCCAAGGTAATAAAGGTCTGCCTCCGACTTGTTGGATGTAGGGGAGTTCCAGAAATAGTGGCATTAGAAACTGGGCTAGGGCCAGCAAAAGAATTTTCTGCACTAGATGCACACTCAGTTGAAGTTTTCTTGAAAGCTTTCTTTCTGGCATCATCATTACTGCTCAGTATTTTTGAATTTGTTTCACAAATGGTACTACACTCATTATTTGAAAGGGAAGCCTTTGCAAGATGTTCATCCATACCACAGTTTCCCGTGACATCTTGGGAAATGATAATGTCACTCTCCATTTGTTCGTCCTGCACAGAAATGTATATATATATGTACAAATTAGCCACAACAAATTTGAATGTGGGGAAATAACATTGTAAATCTTCAGTAATTCAAAAGACAACCATTGTCTTTCAATATTATAAATACTCCAAAGGTAGTGGTAGATACCTAATAATCTGTGTTCCCAATTATAAATATTCAATAAAAGCACAATATTTATTTTAGTTACATACATAGATACAACATACCAATTCCACGAGTGTATAGGGTAACTTATAAAAAGAGGATTATACCATAAATACTAATATTAATAAAATGAAGATTTATAGATAACCTTTGAGTAGTTTAATAAACTGTATTTGAAGGGTGATTTATAAAATCCCAAATATGAAATACCAAATATACCTTAATCATCATCTGAGAATCCTCCTTTGGTTTTTTGGTTAAAGTAGGGATTTCCCTGGAAAGAAAAAAAATTGTATAAACTAGTGCTTTAAATTACTTTAAAAAGAAAACAGTTGCTAAAGTCTGATGGCTTCCATACTTACATAGACTCTTCCTGACTATATTGAGATAGTAAGGTATCTTGTGAAACATCCAGATTATTATACATGGTAGGAATATCACATCTGCAAAAGATTTTATATAAGTAACTTTTAAAATCTGATATTCCTGCAATTAGAAATTCACAATTCTACCATATTCTTTTATAAACAATTCTTTTATAAACAATATAAAACCAAGACCTAAATGTTTATCTTCCAGATTTTTTATGAGATTATATTCCCTTCCTAACCCAACCTATGTCATTTAGAAATTCAATTTAGAAACATTTAAGGAAAAAAGGGAAACATTTGGTACGTTAACAGGTAGCTTTATACATTATGAAATTTAATTATGTACAATATTTTAGCATTAAAATTTAATATATACAGTATCTTAGTTCTAAACACTAAGTTAAAGTTCATTACATAATATCTAAATCTAAGTGTGACTATAGAATATTCAATTTAAGATAAAAGACCTACACACCGCTTTGTTTTGAGTACTTCTTTTTGATGCTCAGTTAATATTCTTTCTTTTACTTCTTTTCCTTCTGGAGGTATAAACACAAAGTCAGCAGACTTCTCTTCTTCCAAAAGCATTTGACTCTTCACTTTCAAAGATGAAGATTCTCGTCTCAGCTGCAGATTTTAAAAAAGTAACATACTTTAGGCTCTCAATTACTTCCAATACCCTATCCATCTCTCTTCTAATATAGTACTCTGATACAGTTTTTCAGTAGTGACTAGGAAGTCTGAAGTGCAAGTCCATATAATATGTCTATGCTTAACTACACAGCATGGGTAAATGTTTTTCATACCAACACAGTTCTCAGGATGAAATATGAATTGCCTAGTTAAGTTGCCAATATAATGTGATAATACCTTTGCTATCATTATAAATTTTCATCACAGCCACTGTTTTACCATTTTTAACCGCTACAAGAGTAGTTCAGTTATTCTTAAAATATAATATTTTTCTTTCATTTCACCAGCACCAAGGTAAATTTCAAGATTCTAGAATAATCCTTATTGATGTTGACAGAGAAAGTTAGTTAACTGAATCAGCAAGATACTTAGGTTTTTCGATTTGAAGTTGAAAAAGAGTCTTACATAGGAATTATTTCTCTTTCTATATAAAATATTACATTCTACAATAGCAACAGTTCCAAACAAAAGTCCTAAAATATTCTCTTGTTCTAAATATCTGTTACCCATTCTTAACTAGTTCTCATTCCACCTCAAGAGGGCTGCTGCCAAAAATAACTGTATGTGAAAGATGCAAAAATGAATGTAAAAGATGCTTATCTAAGAAATCACCATCTAAGGCTTCTAGATATCCATGCCATCTAACAAGTCTTTCTAGACCAAGCAATCATTCCTGTGCTACCTCATCTTTTATTTTTAGCATGTTACAGCTTTTTTCTTCCCATTAAGTTTTATTTTCAAGCTACCATGAATTTAACTTTTAAAAATCCTATTGAAGGCAGTTTTAAAAACATACTTTGACTGATGATTTCATATACTCCTTCTTCTCCTTTCTTTGTGCCAAAAAGGAATCTCTTTTTCTGCTTGATTTCTTTTCCATGCCACTTATCTTCATATTTAATTGTGAATACTCTGTCTATTAAAAACAAAACAAATTCATTAATCGTAATTGTACTATTTTCATTCTCCATTTCTCATTTGAAAAATTCCAGTCTAATAAATGCATATTTTAAATAATGTCAAATTTCTCATGCTCGAGTGATTAAAATAAAAGAAAGGGATTGGATAGTAGCACAGCACAAAACTGTGATGCTGTAAAAGGCCGACCCATACAAAAGAGTTCTGCGTTCATATCGAGAGACCGCCACAGAGTGCACTGGGTATGCTTGTGCTCATGATCTAGGGCTAGCTGGGGGTGGGCTGCCTTGTCAGGATGCTGTTGGGGGTGCTATCTCTCACTCATGAAGAAATATTAAAAAAATAAAAATAAAAAATAAAAAAAAAGGAAAGCAAAGGAGAGAGGAAGGCAGGCTGACCACTAATTCAATAACAGCAAATGACTTTGTGTCGCAAACTTTTATAGTAGCTATTTACATCATTTAATATTATAAATCCAGAAAATAAGATAAACCACATAAACAATGTAAAGTAAACCAAACTGCCAGACTCAAATACATCCACCTATGTTTTTAATTTTCTGAGGAAAAGGGGGAGAGAAAGGGTGGGTACCCTTCTCCTTGACAGGAGCTTTCACAGTGTGATTCTTCCCAGTTCTGAAGCCAGCTAGGATCACAGGTAAACATGGTGTGTTCAGGCCAACCTGGGACCCAAACCCACAGTCTTCTGATATGGCTTCTAGCACTTCACAGCATCACCTCACCCTACTGTTTGTGCCACGTCAGCTAGACCTCAAATACTCCACCCATTACTGGAAATATTTCTCAAAAAAATCAAAGCCAAAAAACGTTAAACATTAAAAAAGGGGAGGAGGACTGACAAAGCATGTATGATGGAGAATATTAATGCAACAAACACACCAAATAAAAATATCGATATGTGAATTTAAAAGGTCAAATTACACGGAGTCTAACAAGTCTACATAGTTATCGGCCAGGAATTTTTTTTTAATGTTTCATATGCATTATTCTGACATATTTTTTAAAAACAAAAGGGTGCAGGGATCAGCAGGTAGTGTGGTGCTTAAGCTGCTAGACATTCCCACATGGCCAACAACTGTTGTGTCCCAGACCTAATGGCTTGATTTCTCACGTTCCCTCTTTCTCTCTCTCTGCATGTCTCTCTCTGGTCAAATTAAAAATAAGTGAATGAATAAAAAAAATTAAAAATTCATTCAAAAAATAGAGGCCAGAAGGAGGCATGGTGATTAAGACGGAGGACATTCCCACATGGCTGACTGTGGTTCGAGTCCCAGGCCAGTTGGCTTGCTTTCTCACTTTCTCTCTCTCTCTGGTTAAAATAAATGAATGAATAAATAAAATTTTCTTTAAAAAAAGGGATGCAAATATTTGCACTTATCAATGCCTTTTTCTTTACATCTGGCTTTACTTCTTCAGACTTTTTGTTACCAAGAAGCAAGGTCTGATTTCAAAGAGGCCCATTTGCCTCTTTGTCATCATCAAAGTATCAAAGTATCAAAGTCATCATCAAAGCAATACTCCAGTTGGGCATATACACTGATTAGCTGCGTAATTTCTTCTAGGACATTTATAACAGATACAACATGTATAGGACTTCAGTTTTGGATTTTTCCCCCTTTTTATTCTTTTTATAAATAAGAGTTTCCTGCTTCTCATTCATATTTTCTTTTCTTTGAATATATTGCACAGTATTTTATTATTAAAAAAGGTTTTATGTCTCAGGCAAAAATTCTTCTTCACTCAGGAGGTGCTAATGTGTATTATTTTCTAAAAGAAGTAAGTGGTTGTGTGCCCACCCTCAAAGGGGATGGAACTAACAGGTTTGTAAGATTTGAGTTTGAAATGGCAGCAAAATATTTCTACTATAAATTTTCCAGTTCCATGTAACATGTCTGTTGTTGGTATGATTCCTCCAACAATACCAGAGTCTTACAAAAAACTAGCAGTATGGTATGTGGTCTTCAATAACCATCACCATAAGAGAACTGAGATTATAATTTCAAAAATATCCCTGAGACTCCATGCCTGGCTGCAGCACAGTTTCTAATACATTTCCATTCTGTCACAGAAAACTGATGGGAGTGTGCTGAAACTTTATATGTATGCAGTTTTGTTGGCACAGCTGTAATAAAATACTGGACCATTTGGTTGTGATCTGTAGCAATTTTTTCAGTTCCATCTAAAGAATTAATAATTCCTGGGACAAGCTCGCCAAAGGACAAATGATGTATTCTGTGACAAAAGTTTTAAGAGTCATGATTGACTAGTGTTGCCAATGCATAACCATGAGGATGTGGAATTGCCTTGCCTACAGTTATGTGAAAATTTCCTGCTACTTTATTGACATACAGATGACCATGAACTCTGTATGCTTCTGGAGGCTCTAATGACCCATCTTCTCTTGGTGAAAGTGCTGCTGTACCTTTAAAAGTACTTTTAAATATGACATCTTGAAGAGAGTGTCCTTCTTGTAGCCTACTCTGAATCACCTGAAGCATCCTCTGCCACTCTTTTTGCTGTGGCTAAAGATTAAATATTGCTGGTCATAAACTAGACCATCTGCAGATGCAACCATTGTTTTTGTTAAATCAAATACATTTACTTCAACATACTGACATTTCCTGGCAACAGAAATATCTATACTGATCCCCAGTTTGCTAGAAAAATCATTATCTACATCATATTCGTACTTCATCCATGTATCTTCATATACTGAGAATTTAATAAAGCCATAATAGTAAATGCTACTAAAGAAACTGTACCCACACTGGCTGAAATTTCTAAATAGCTTTCAGGAACCTTTGAAAAACCATCCAATTCTTTCTCCAAACTTAAAAGGTTTTATTCCGATTAAGCTGCTTCATCATCAGGAAAACCTTCCTCTTCCTTCATATGGTCACACTTGTGCTACTGTCCCAGATGACCGCCATGTTACACAAAAGTCTGGGTTGCCCCTCTGCTAAGAATGTTTACCTTAGCCAAAACTAAAAACAAAACAAACTTATTTATCTAGAATATAATACTTCTTTTTCCTCTTATAAATTTTTGAAAGATTTTTGCTACAGGGCGAGGGTGCTCGCCAGAAACAGAAAGCAAGAAACTACCCCACCCCCCCCCACAGGATGATGGACATGCAGCCACCCATATTTCTTCTTTCTCTCAGAATTCTAGGCACACATGCACATTCCCGCGTGAGTTACAAGCCGCCAAGCTGCCAGATGTGGGACTCTTAACCGCTATGTGGAAGTTCAGCACCTTAACCACTATGCCATCTCCTGGCCCCTTCTATAAATTATTTAGGGAAAAAAAAAAGACATGTAGACTAAAAGTAGAGGACTGGAAAAAGGGTTTTCTGTACAAATGGGAACCAAAAAGAAAAGCTGGAGTCGTGATACTAATTTCTGACAAAATAGCCTTTAAAACAGAAACTGTTCGAAGAGACAAAGGGCACTATATTATAGTAAAAGGGTCAATATATCAAGAAGATAAAACACTTATAAATATCTATGCACCTAACACAGGAGCACCCAAATACATAAAGGAAAGACTGTCAGATCTAAAAGGAGAGAGAGACTGCAACACACTAATTGTTGAAGACATCAACACCCCCACTATCCCCTCTGGACAGATCATCTAGACAAAAAAATAGGTAAAGAGATAAAGGATCTAAATGATACCATAAATCAAATGGATTTAACAGACATCTATATAACTGTCCACCCAAAAGCCACAAGATACACTTTTTTCTCACCCCCACATGGAACTTTTTCGACATGATAGGGCACAAGGCAAGCCTCTACAGATTCAAGGGCATAAAAACTATAACCAGCAAGACTCCTCCACGGTTCCTGAGAACAAGTGATTTCAGAAAAAAAAGAGAAATGAAGATTTTCTACCAATAATTCAGCCTCCAGCCCACAAACTTCAAGTGGTAGGCAGCCCCTCTGTCTTCTCATTTTTTGTAACTTTTCCTTTAAAAAATTTTTTAAGATAAAGTATTTTCTTGGCTTTCAGCCCCTCCTTTATCTTGCTAATAATCCCTCCCCCACCCCATCCTGCCCTCCTGGAGAGGCAAGGGGCAGGCCTTCAGAAGAAGACTCCTCCATGGTTCCTGAGAACTAGTGATTTTGCACAGAGGGCCTGCACACACCGTGGTTTTTTCTTATTTTTTTTTTTTAATAATACATTTTTTAGGTTGTTTTTAATTTTTTTTCCCTTCTTTCTCTGTTCCTTTTCTTCTATTTTTTCTCTCTATTTCCTTTTCTTTTTCTTTTATCTCATCACTCTGCTCCTCAATCTTCATGCTCTGTGTTTCTAGACAAATCTAAGGGAACCATAGCCAAACATCCAAATACTATTACGGTTAACATATTCCTCAATATCCACTGAATCTGCTGCACAAAGGTGTAAAACCGGCAAAGAATTCCAGATCACTTCCATCTATAAGCTCCTGAATGCTAAGACAGAACTTGAAGAATTAGGAAGAAACACATCATCCATCAGATGACTAGAAATCACCGCAGGGCCACAAGAAATATGGAAAAGCAAGAAAATACCTGTACTCAAAGGGAAAAGAGTAACTCCTCTTCATTCACAAACAGTTCAATGGAAACCATGGAAAAATCTGATAAAGAATTTAGAAAACTCATAATGACAAAGCTAACAGAGATGGAAGAAAAGAGAGAAAATGAACTGCAGAATAGGCAGGACAAAAGAGCTGACGAGTTCCAGGAAGTGAGGAAATTCTTGCAAGATTGAAAAGAGGAATTACACATACAGAAAAAGAATCAAATGGACCTGTTAGAGATGAAGGCTATAATACAGGAAGTCAAAACATCCCTTGAAAGTATTAAAAGCAGACTAGATCACACAGAAAATAGAATCTCAGACATAGAAAATTGCTGGCCTAGAAAAATCCACCATGAAGACTGAGAAAATTGCCCCCAAAAAAGAGAATAAAATACAAGAAATACAGATA